ATGCCTCAGTGGTGGTGTTGGTGTTTGTGCATGATGTTGTCTCTGGGTCTGTGTGTCTCTTGTGAACGTCTGTGTGTGAGTGTGGGTCTCTGAACCCATGGGTTTCTGAGTCTGTGTGAACCTGTGTGTGAGTCTGTGTCTCTGTGTGTGAGTCTATGGGTCTCTGTGGGTCTCTGTGTGAGTCTGTGGGTCTCTGTTGTGAGTTTATGGGTCTGTGAGTGAGTCTGTGGGTCTCTGTGAGTCTATGGGTCTCTGTGTGAGTCTGTGGGTCTCTGTGTGAGTTTATGGGTCTGTGTGTTAGTCTATGGGTCTCTGTGTGAGTCTGTGTCTCTGTGTGAGTCTGTGGGTCTCTGTGTGAGTCTGTGGGTCTCCGTGTGAGTTTATGGGTCTGTGTGTAAGTCTATGGGTCTGTGTGTAAGTCTGTGTCTCTGTGTGAGTCTGTGGGTCTCTGTGTGAGTCTATGGGTCTCTGTGTGAGTCTTTGGGTCTCTGTGTGAGTCTGGGTCTGTGTGTGAGTCTGTGTCTGTGTGAGTCTGTGGGTCTCTGTGTGAGTTTATGGGTCTCTGTGTGAGTATACGGGTCTCTGTGTAAGTCTATGGGTCTCTGTGCGAGTCTGGGTCTGTGTGTGAGTCTGTGTCTGTGTGAGTCTGTGGGTCTCTGTGTGAGTCTATGGGTCTCTGTGTGAGTATACGGGTCTCTGTGTAAGTCTATGGGTCTCTGTGTGAGTCTATGGGTCTCTGTGTGAGTCTATGGGTCTCTGTGTGAGTCTATGGGTATCTGTGTGAGTCTGTGTGTCTTTCTGTGAGGCAGGAATGTGAGTGTGATTCTAGCTGTCTGGCTGCTACAATAACACGTCTTGATGTTGGGGTTTTTCAATGTTCAATGGCTCCGCCGATGCACAAAATCATTAAATCCACGCAGACTCAGCCGGCAGAGCGATTTGAAGGGGTTGTGAGTTCACATCCACAATATACAAAGGTCCCCCGTGTAGCCCTATCAGACTGTAGGGGCAAGTGCTGTTAGCGAGCAGCTCCTATGACAAAGGTCCCCCGTGTAGCCTTATCAGACTGTAGGGGCAAGTGCTGTTAGCGAGCAGCTCCTATGACAAAGGTCCCCCGTGTAGCCTTAACAGACTGTAGGGGCAAGTGCTGTTAGCGAGCAGCTCCTATGACAAAGGTCCCCCGTGTAGCCTTATCAGACTGTAGGGGCAAGTGCTGTTAGCGAGCAGCTCCTATGACAAAGGTCCCCCGTGTAGCCTTAACAGACTGTAGGGGCAAGTGCTGTTAGCGAGCAGCTCCTATGACAAAGGTCCCCCGTGTAGCCTTATCAGACTGTAGGGGCAAGTGCTGTTAGCGAGCAGCTCCTATGACAAAGGTCCCCCGTGTAGCCTTAACAGACTGTAGGGGCAAGTGCTGTGAAGGAGTAGCAGCGCCTATGAAGGCCGGCACGGCACACGAGGGGGTGGGTGGCCAGCACCACGCCCGGCCGCCTTTGTCTCCCCAGTGGTGAAGTGTACACACCGCACCAAGTACTCATTTTAAGGCCGAGTCGATCTAGGGGAGGCACAGGCCCGGCTAAGATATCAGTCGCGAGCGACGGTGGCCGTCACGTGTAGATTCGAACGCGCACACGAGGCAACTACGGTAACGTAGAGCATTGTCATGTGTAATAGAGACATTGAAACTTCATGTGAGACAAAGTTCTCTCTCTGTGTGTCTCTCTGTGTGTCTCTCTCTGTGTGTGTGTCTCTCTGTGTGTGTCTCTGTGTGTCTCTCCCCCATGTGTGTCTCTCTGTGTGCCTCTCTCTCTGTCTGTGTGTCTCTCTGTGTCTCCCCCCCATGTGTGTCTCTGTCTCCTATCTCTGTGTCTCTCTCTGTGTCTCTCTCTGTGTCTCTGTGTGTCTCTCTCTGTCTCTCCCCCATATGGGTCTCTCTCTGTCTCTCTGTGTGTCTCTATGTGTCTCTATGTGTCTCTCTGTGTGTCTCTCTGTCTCTCTCTCTCTGTGTCCTGCCTCACGGCAGGAGTTTTGCCTCATGGCAGATGGGAGCGGGGGCGAATGTACACAGGAATTTCCTGTTTTTGATGCTGGTTTTTGTCACGTGACCAGGAAGTTACTAATTAAGATTCCCGCTCGACCACGTGGCCGTCGGCCATTAACGCACATAATTCAAGATGGCGGCACACATCGCGTCCCAGTGAAGTCAGCCGCAGTTGTCCATCGTGGGACTTTGAGAAGCGTTGTCTGTAAGTTTGTTTATGTTCTTATAATATCGGCAATGCTGTTGTAATGTTGGAATGACCGTTATAGTGATGTAAATGCATTTATGGTTGCTGTTAAGTTGTGGTAAATACGAGGCCTAGTTGGCAACGAAGCCTGCAACTTTCCTTATTGTGGATGTTACTTGTGATTTAGTAGGTCGAGTCAGACTCTGTGTGTCTCTCTGTATGTGTCTCTCTCTGTGTCTCCCCCATGTGTGTCTCTCCCCATGTGTGTCTCTCTGTGTCTCTCCCCCATGTGTCTCTCTGTGTGTCTCTCTCTGTCTCTCCCCCATGTGGGTCTCTCTGTATCTCTCTCTGTATCTGTGTTTGTCTCTCTCTGTGTCTCTCTCTCTGTATCTCTCTGTCTCTCTCTGTATCTCTCTGTCTCTGTCTGTGTTTGTCTCTCTCTGTATGTGTGTCTCTCTCCTCTGTGTCTCTGTGTCTCTCCGTGGCTGTGTTTGTCTCTCTGTCTCTCTCTTAACTTGCATTCATTCACACCTGACGACGGTTGCTCGTGTTGCAATCGAAACGTCGCGTTCTATTATTTTATTATTTCCCTTCTACGCGACTTTATCGAAAGAACCAAGAATACCAATCCCGGCAGTCACGAAAGCTTTAAAGTTAAACTTATGGTAAGCTGGGCATCATACGCCCTCTAGCGGCGGAAACACGTCACCACGATCCACACTTAGATTGTCCCCGTCAGGAGTTGGTGTTCACTGCGACATTGAAATCGTTGTCCCTTCTTCTTGTTTCTTTCGGTAAAGTGACGTAGAAGGGAAGTAATAAAATAATAAAAATAAAACATAATAGAATTCTCACGACGTTTCGGCCACAACGCAAGCAGCCGTCCTCAGGTGAAGACCAGGTCTGTCGGAAAGACGGCGTCTGAATGGTCATTCAGACGCTGTCTTGATTTTACGTAATATTTTTATTATTTTATTATTTCCCTTCTACGTGACTTTACCGAAAGAACCAAGAAGATGAATCCCTGCAGTCACGAAAGAAGCTTTAAATCGAAATTTAAATTTATTATAGTTTTATTTTTATTATTTTAAAATTTCCCTTCTACGTGACTTTACCGAACGAACCAAGAAGATGAATCCCTGCAGTCACGAAAGAAGCTTTAAATCGAAACTTAATTTTATTATAGTTTTATTTTTATTATTTTAAAATTTCCCTTCTACGTGACTTTACCGAACGAACCAAGAAGATGAATCCCTGCAGTCACGAAAGAAGCTTTAAATCGAAACTTAATTTTATTATAGTTTTATTTTTATTATTTTAAAATTTCCCTTCTACGTGACTTTACCGAACGAACCAAGAAGATGAATTGGTCTTCCTCTTATTCCAGGTTCCTTCCATTCTCCCCCGAGCGAGGCAGATAAGACAGCACGTAACCACATCTCAAATGGTTCTCTAAGGCAGTTCAATCAGAAGGAAGGTTATACCAGAGGTCGCAAACGGGTTTTGATTCCTTACCCGTACCCGGCCGCACCAGGGTCGCAAACCCGGCCGGGTACGGCCGGGTACGGGTATCGGGTACCTGATTGCGACCTCTGGGATGAAGCCATGTTGCAGACGCGGGTGGGTTGATTCTAGGAACTTGAATTGTGAGAAGAGACAAGACGTTGGGAAATGAGTGACAAACGGTGACTCACCGGTGACTCACGGCCTACCCGTACCCGGCCGCACCAGGGTCGCAAACGGGTACCCGTACCCGGCCGGATACGGGTAGCCGGGTATCGGGTAGGGTACGGGTATTGGGTAGGGTACGGGTATCGGGTACCCGGTTGCGACCTCTGGGTTACACAGCAGCATGTGGACTAATCTCCATCTGTTCCACACTCCCGTTCCGTGCGAATCGATGAGACGATACTACTGAGTTGACATTGCGATTACAATTCAATCCAGCCGATGGTGGTGGTGCCTATAAAAAATTAACGCAAGGACACATTTACAACTCCTTACCATATTTATTATAAATTAACGTGTTCGTTTTTTTTGTTTAAACCAATAACAACAACAAAAGTGACAGGGGGGGAGGGAGGGCATTCCGATTGAAATTTCGTTGTTTAAAACGTACAATTAATTATAGACTTTACACAAGCTTAAGAAAACGTATGTACAAGGGTTGTGTTTTTTTGTTTGATCATATACAAAATCATTTTCTTTTAATGGAATTCTCTAAACATCATAAACCGATGACAGAGACAATACTAACTTCAGCATACAGTGTATGAACCACGTGTGTTTTAAGATCAACAACTCCATTCTAGATTTGAAGCTTTCGTGACTGCAAGGATTTGTATTCTTAGGTTTTTTCGGTAAAGTCACGTAGGTAAAAATGTTTTAATTAATAAAAGTAAAATAAAAATCAAATATTTTATTTTTATTTTACTTTTATACATTTTATTTTACTTTAATTAATTTGAATTTTTTATTAATAAAATTTAAAATTAATAAAAGTAAAATAAAAAAAAATATTTTTATTTTACTTTTATGAATTAGAATTTTTTTATTAATAAAATTAAAAATTAATAAAAAAGAAAAAAAAATATTTTAATTTTACTTTCATTAATTTTATTTTATTAATTTGAATTTTTTATAAATAAAATGTAAAATTAATAAAAGTAAAATAAAATAAAAAATATTTTTATTTTACTTTTATTAATTTTAATAAAATTTAAATTAAAAAAATATTTTATTTTTATTTTACTTTTATTAATTAAAATTTTTTACCCACGTGACTTTACCGAAAAAAACCTAAGAATATCAACAACTCCAGGCAGCTGCGGCGACAACGTATTTGGTCTTCCATGAGTAAACTTAACTACTCTCTACTTGACCAGGTAAGGCCAGGTACAAAGCTGTGAATTTGTAGCAGTCGAAAATAAACTCTTTAAATTCCACGTGACTTTACCGAAAAAAAACCTAAGAATACAAATGCTTTGCGTGGAGCAGTCGTCTTTTTAAATCCTTTATATTAAGTTCGCTTGCTTGCTTGCGCGCTTACGACCGTGCAAATCTTTCGGTCGTTTTTTAACCCACTTCCCGTGATCCAATCGAGCTGACATTTTGCACACAGACTCGTTGTGCGTGACAATTTATTTTCGTGAAAATGTTTTTTCCAAAATTTTACACTTTTTAGGAAAAAATAAATTATATTTAATTACCAATTGCTTAATGGTGGCAGGCAATCATCTGACCCATAGGTGGCGGCCATCTCAAGCCAGAGGACGAGAGGACTCTAGCCGCCACGCATATAAAGGATTTAGAGTGGAAAACTTTGTTTTTACGGGTTAATTTTTTCTGAACCTGGGTTTGCATAGTGCACCCCCTGGGAGTGAGAGATGCCCTTTCAGAGAAACCACAGGGCTGCAGGAAAGGTTAAGAACCACTGGCTTAGAGGGGTCTTTGGCCTACTCTTCCACGCTGGCCAACAACAACAACAACCGCCATTCACCACTAAGTGGCGGTGATGTCACCACGACGCTCGTGCCAGGCCATGTGCACGTTGAGGCTACCACATGAAGTGTCGAATGCCCGCTGGCAGGTCACGGGCAGACCCAGCAGGTGCCACGGGTAGACTTGACTGAGATGGCTACTGGCAGATGCACCACCTGTGCCTCCTACTGTGCCAGGCTAGGTGCAGGAGGTCACGGGGCAGACCCAGCAGGTGCCACGGGTAGACCCATGGTGGGTCCCAGCAACCCACCATGGGAGTTACCCACACACTAACATCAACCACACTTGCCTTTCATTACACACACACGCAACCCTCTCTTGACGAAGGGTCCTTGAGACTCGGTAAGACTTAAGAAGGGAGTGAGAGATACACTCAAGTGTAAGACTAACAACTAAATTGATGTTGTCGTCGCTGATTGCATTTTTGGTGGCCGCAGTGACCATCGCAGCAATTAAGCGATCATTTCAAACGGGCAGTGGACAATACTGAACGATTCGTGCGTGTGTTGTTTTTAAATCCTTTATATTAAGTTCGCTTGCTTGCTTGCTTACGACCGTGCAAATCTTTCGGTCGTTTTTTTAACCCACTTCCCGTGATCCAATCGAGCTGACATTTTGCACACAGACTCGTTGTGCGTGACAATTAATGTTTGTGAATTTTTTTTCCAAAAGTTTACACTTTTTAGGACAAAAATATTATATTTAATTACCAATTGCTTAATGGTGCAATGCAATCATCTGACCCATAGGTGGCAGCCATCTCAAGCCAGAGGACGAGAGGACTCTAGCCGCCACGCATATAAAGGATTCATAGTGAAAAACTTTGTTTTTACGGGTTTACTTGTTTTACCTGAAAGCATAACAACCCAAACCTCGCACCCTACCGAGCGTTGCGCGAAACCCCTCGGGACTCAAGCTGCAAGTTTCATCCCGACGCCACCCGCCCCCGAACGGCGATCCTAAACGTATCATCGGTGTGACCCGACGGGGAGACGGAACGAATCCGCTCGCCGCTCAACTCCACAGCGGCCGCATCCGGCGTTTACTCACAACAACCTTCCCGGCAACAACAACCACAACCAACAACAACAACCAACAACAACAACAAAATGGACATATATAAGATTCGTATTTTTTTTTCTTCCCTACAGCATTTAAAACGTCCGCTCGCGCGCACGCGCGTATATACGTATGCAGGACACACAGTGTATTCACATCAGTAAATTAAGAACGAGAAATGCAGTGTCGTTAACAAAGCGATAAAACGAACCACCCGGCCCCCCCTCATTCGCGTCTCAACATTTAGATCATCCTCTCTCGCTCTCTCACTCTCTCGCCCACTCTCTCGGTCACTCTCTCGCCCACTCTCTCGCTCACTCTCTCGCTCACTGTCTCGGTCACTCTCTCGCTCACTCTCTCGCCCACTCTCTCGCTCTCTCTCGCCCACTCTCTCGCCCACTCTCTCGCCCACTCTCTCGCCCACTCTCTCGCTCACTGTCTCGGTCGCTCACTCTCTCGTTCACTCTCTCTCGCTCTCTCTCGCCCACTCTCTCGCCCACTCTCTCGCTCACTCTCTCGCTCTCTCTCGCTCTCTCTCACTCTCTCTTTCTCGCCGCACGATTCAGGGACATGGACAAAAGTCAAATATTCCCCCCCCCCCCGCCGCCTCCTCCCGGTACGGCCTCTTAACAGACTGTTCGGGGCAAGTGCTGCTAGCGAGTAGCAGCACCTACGAAGGCTGGCACGGCACACGAGGTGGTGGGTGGACAGCGCCGCGCCCGGCCGCCTTTGTCTCCCCAGTGCTGGCGACGTGTCACCGCACGCCGCACCAGTAGCGGATAATTATCCGCTACTGGTGGTGTTGGTCGTGAGCGGGAATCGAACTTGGGTCGCCCGGGATTCGTAGCGCGGCGCACACACGCACGCACACACACACACGCGCGCACACACACACGCACACACGCACACACACACGCATACACACGCGCGCGCACACGCACGCACGCACACACACATGTGCGCACACACACACGCTCGCACACACTCACGCGCACACGCACACGCACGCGCGCGAATGAAAACAAACCAAAAAATATATATTCTTTGAAGACATGGTCACGTGACTTCCGGGCTGTGTAGCGGAGCCCATGTTGTGGGGGGTGTGGTGGTGGTGTGTGTACGTACGTGTGTCCGTGTCTGCGTGTTGAACTTCTTTTGCACCGTACGTAGCCAACCGTGCTAATAGGAGGTGCGGGGGGTGGGGCGAACAAACGAAACATCGCCATTCGTGAAACAAATGTGGCCGGGCGTGGCGCCGACCGCCCGGCCTTCATTGGCGATTGCCAATAGCACTTGCCCCGACAACCTCGATAGGCTACGAGGGGGATCTTTGTCTGTGTGGTCTCGTGTGTCGGCACAGGCTGGAGAGCAGATGGGCCGATGCCAAACAGGAGGACGTGGAGCAGACGATGATCACCAGCCGTCAAAAGTTCGGCCTTCGTAGAGGAGGAGGAGGCTCGTGAAGGACGCTGCTACTGGGCAGTTGGAAAGATCTGGGCCAAGTCCCATCGGTGAGCTCCTCCGGCAGGCAAGGCTGCGTTGGCTGGGCCATGTAGCCCGCATGCCCAGCCACCGCATGCCCAAACAGCTTTTGTTCGGCCGGATCGAGGGGGCTAAACGGGCGCGGCACGGGCTAGAGAAGAGATGGAGTGACGTGGTACAGGAGGACGTGGAGCTGAGTGGACTTGCCGATGACTGGTACCAGCGGTGTCAAGATCGGCCTCAGTGGAGGAGGAGGCTCGTGAAGGACGCTACTGGGCAGTTGGAGGCAGTCGCCCTCCAGCAACAACGGAGGGCGGAGGAGCGACGCTCACAACAACGAGCGGAGAGCGCCGGGCGGATAAAGCGCAGCGAGAGTCGGGTGTGCGTCTGCCGGCAGTCATCTCAGTCGGTGACCCCGTGGCCACCCACCCCCATGACCTCCCCCGTGACCTCCCTCTCGCCGTCCCGGCTTGCCGCGCCCGCTTTGTAAAGCGCACCTAGCCTGGCACGGGAGCCGCCGTTGTCGCCGTTTCAACGACGAACTTCACAGTTGAGAGAAAGCGATCGGCGATCAACGATCAGCGATCAGGGATCGGTGCGGGCAGAAGAAGACGCGGCGGTGACGGGCTGGGCTCGTTGCAGAGAAAACCTTCGGGCGCGATTCCCAAGTTGAGCGGGAGGACGCTCCTCCGTTGTGTCGGCGGTCCCCGCGATCCCGAGTTTCACCCCGAGATCCCGAGACGGGTCGCCGACCCTGGGCGGAGCGGCGACGGAGCGCTGGGGGACGGAGCGCGGAAAAGATTTGTGGAAGCGTCGTCGTCGTCATCGTCAACGTCATCATCATCGTCAACGTCATCATCATCGTCATGGTCATCATCGTCGTCATGGTCATCATCGTCGTCATCGTCAACGTCATGATCGTCATCATGGTCATCATCATCGTCGTCATGGTCATCATCGTCGTCATCGTCAACGTCATGATCGTCGTCATCGTCATCATCATCGTCGTCATCGTCAACGTCATCATCATCATCGTCATCATCGTCAATGTCATGATCGTCGTCATGGTCATCATCATCGTCATGGTCATCATCATGGTCATCATAGTCATGGTCATCATCATCGTCGTCATCGTCGTCATCACAATAATAGCAGCAGCATTTAATTATGTAATCCCCCCTGTTCTACAGAGTATGGGGACCTCTCTCTGTACAGGTGTGTGTACAGGTGTGTGTACTTGTGTGTGTGTGTATCTGTGTGTACCTGTGTGTGTGTGTACCTGTGTGTGTGTGTGTGTGTACCTGTGTGTGTGTGTGTGTACCTGTGTGTGTGTGTGTGTGTACTTGTGTGTGTGTGTATCTGTGTGTACCTGTGTGTGTGTGTACCTGTGTGTGTGTTGTCGGCGAGTGTGTCTGTGTGTGTACCTGTGTGTGTGTGTGTGTACCTGTGTGTGTGTGTGTGTGTACCTGTGTGTGTGTGTGTGTGTACCTGTGTGTGTGTGTGTGTACCTGTGTGTGTGTGTGTGTGTACCTGTGTGTGTGTGTGTACCTGTGTGTGTGTGTGTACCTGTGTGTGTGTGTACCTGTGTGTGTGTGTACCTGTGTGTGTGTGTACCGGTGTGTGTGTGTGTATCTGTGTGTGTGTGTGTATCTGTGTGTGTGTGTGTACCTGTGTGTGTGTGTGTACCTGAAGCAGTATGTGTGTGTGTACCTGTGTGTGTGTGTGTACCTGTGTGTGTGTGTGTACCTGTGTGTGTGTGTGTACCTGTGTGTGTGTGTGTACCTGTGTGTGTGTGTACCTGTGTGTGTGTACCTGTGTGTGTGTGTACCTGTGTGTGTACCTGTGTGTACCTGTGTGTACCTGTGTGTGTGTACCTGTGTGTGTATGTGTGTGTGTGTGTACCTGTGTGTGTGTACCTGTGTGTGTGTGTACCTGTGTGTGTACCTGTGTGTACCTGTGTGTACCTGTGTGTGTGTACCTGTGTGTGTGTGTACCTGTATGTACCTGTGTGTGTGTACCTGTGTGTACCTGTGTGTGTGTACCTGTGTGTGTGTACCTGTGTGTACCTGTGTGTGTGTGTACCTGTGTGTGTGTGTGTACCTGTGTGTGTGTGTGTGTACCTGTGTGTGTGTGTGTACGTGTGTGTGTGTACCTGTGTGTACCTGTGTGTGTGTACCTGTGTGTGTGTACCTGTGTGTGTGTGTGTACTTGTGTGTGTGTGTGTACCTGTGTGTGTGTGTGTACCTGTGTGTACCTGTGTGTGTGTACCTGTGTGTGTGTACCTGTGTGTGTGTACCTGTGTGTGTGTGTGTACCTGTGTGTGTGTGTGTACCTGTGTGTGTGTGTGTACCTGTGTGTACCTGTGTGTGTGTACCTGTGTGTGTGTACCTGTGTGTGTGTACCTGTGTGTGTGTGTGTACCTGTGTGTGTGTACCTGTGTAGTGACATAAGAAGGGAGGGGCTGCTGTAGGCTCTGGGTTCCCAGGTGGGTCCAGACGCGTAAGCCTCTGGGCGCCAGGCTCTGGGTTCCCAGGGGATCCAGACGCTTTTAAGCCTCTGGGCGCCAGGCTCTGGGTTCCCAGGCGCTTAAGCCTTTTTGGCGCCGCCAACGGGGGGGGGGGCTGTGTGTGCTCTGTGGGATGTCTGGTGGCGCACACGGCCCCACCCCTCGTCGGACCAGGCATAAAAGGAGAGCTCCCTGGACGATCGCCCCAGTTGTAACTCAAGACCCAAGACCCACGACCAGCCATCTGAAGACCCTGGGATGCTGTGAGAGCCAGCGCTGGGACTCTGGAACTCCCGACGCTACGACCTTGTGAGGGCGAGTCCAGAGCGTAGCCAGAGTAGAGTATCTAGGCTGTGTAGCTAGGCTGTGTACCTAGGCTGTAACAGAGTATCAGGACTGTTGGAGTGTTGTATTGTAATAAAGAAGTTACATCTACAAGTGTCTCCGGAACCCATTACACCTGTGTGTGTGTGTGTACCTGTGTGTGTGTGTACCTGTGTGTGTGTGTGTACCTGTGTGTGTGTGTACCTGTGTGTGTGTGTACCTGTGTGTGTGTGTGTGTACCTATGTGTGTGTGTGTGTACCTATGTGTGTGTGTGTGTACCTGTGTGTGTGTGTGTGTGTACCTGTGTGTGTGTGTACCTGTGTGTGTGTGTGTACCTGTGTGTGTGTGTGTGGTACCTGTGTGTGTGTGTGGTTACCTGTGTGTGTGTGTACCTGTGTGTGTGTGTACCTGTGTGTCTGTGTACCTGTGTGTGTGTGTGGTACCTGTGTGTGTGGTTACCTGTGTGTGTGTGTACCTGTGTGTGTGTGTACCTGTGTGTGTACCTGTGTGTGTGTGTGTATCTGTGTACCTGCCACTCAGAGCAGATCGACGTAGTTCTGTGGGATGAGTCCGGTCTTCCCGTTCAGCGTCGCCTCCAGCCACCCCGGCTCACGGGACTTGTGCACTGCACACACACACACAGACAAAGATCCCCCGTGTAGCCTTAACAGACTGTAGGGGCAAGTGCTGTTAGCGAGCACCTATGAAGGCCGGAATGGTACACGAGGGGGTGGGTGGCCAGCACCACGCCCGACCGCCTTTGTCTCCCTAGTGGCGATGTTTACATACCGCACCAGGTTACTAATTTGAGGCTGAGTCGACCTAGGGGAGGCTCAGGACCGGTTCAGATAATCGTCACTGGTGTGGGCCGTGAGCGGGAATCGAACTCGGATCGCCGGGTTCGGAGCGGGGCGAGTAAAACGCTACACTACCGCTCCCCCACACGCACAGACACACAAAGACACACACAGTGACAGACACACACACAGACACACACAGTGACAGACACACACAGACATACAAACACGCACACAGACACGCAAACACGCACACACAGACACACACACAGACACACACACACAGTGACACACACAGACACACACAGACACACACAGTGACAGACACACACACAGACACACACACAGACACACACACAGACACACACAGACACACAGACACACACAGTGACACACACACACAGTGACACAGGCTCGTTGCGTTACCGTTGGTGAAGAGGTCCCCGGGCATGAAGGAGAGCTCCGTCTCGTGCTCCGCTTCACACGCGTACCGCGCCCGGGCCTGCCTGCTGCACCACGCACACAGCATCATCAACATCATCATCAGCATCAACATCATCATCAGTACCTCGCCCTGGCCTGCCTGCTGCACCACGCACACAACAGCAGCAGCAACAACTACATAATAAAGGTGTTTGGGGTTAGATCGCCAGCAAAACGTCGTGCTACTCAAACTTTACAAATGCCGTTGATTCTCTCTTCAACACAGCGCTGGGCTAAAGAAGTGAATTATTTTGTCCTTTGAAAAAAACGTGACGCATTTTTTTCGCTGATTGGCCGTGCCGGGGTGGTGGAGGGTTACGACACATTTATAAATAATAACGGCCATCTCACCCCAAAAAAACCTGTATTATGAAAAATATTGGTCGCGAAAGCCTGCTACGTGTTCAAACAACAGCAACAACAACCGCCATTCGCCACTAAGTGGCGGTGACGTCACCACGACGCTTGTGCCAGGCTATGTGCACCTTGAGGCCACGTGAAGTGTCGAACGCCCGCTGGCAGGAGGTCAGTTCAACGCAGACGCACGCGCACACACACGCACGCGCACACACACGCACACACGCGCACAGGCACGCACACGCGCACAGGCACGCACACACGCGCACAGGTACGCACACACGCACACGCACACACACACGCTGATGCTGCAGGCTATAATCACCTGGAAGGACGGCTGTATTTGGATGAAGACTCATAGAACGGGGTCCTTGCTATGATGCTGTCAATGAGATAATCAACAGAACAAGCGTTGGACAACACCAAGCGTCTCCCCTACGGCAGTGCAAAGACAACGACCCCCCGTGTGGCAGAGGTCGCAACCGGGTACCCGATACCCGTACCCTACCCGATACCCGTGCCCTACATGATACCCGTACCCTACCCGACACCCGTACCCTACACCTGTACCCTACCCGATACCCGGCTACCATACCCGTACCCTACCCGACACCCGTGCCCTACATGATACCCGTACCCTACCCGATACCTGTAGCCTACCCGATACCCGTGCCCTACATGATACCCGTACCTTACCCGATACCCGACTACCCGTACCCGGCCGGGTACGGGTACCCGTTTGCGACCCTGGTGCGGCCGGGTACGGGTACGAGGGGTAAGGAATCAAAACCCGTTTGCGACCTCTGCCGTGTGGCCTTGACCGAAAGAACCACAGAGTGTGGATTCGTGCTTTCACGAAAGCTTCCGATCAAGATTGTAACAGGCCGTCAGCGCTGCAGCGCCACGCACGGCCGCCTTTGTCTCTCCCCAGTGGTTACGTTTGCACCGCACCGGGTACTCGTTGTGAGGCTGAGTCGACCTAGGGGAGGCCCAGGACCGGGTTTCGGACAATCGTCGCTGCTGCTGCTGCTGCTGCTGGTTCGCCAGCGGAGTGAACAGCGGACAAGAGACCAACTTTCTCTCTCTGCCGAAGCCCTCTCAGCATCGCCAACAGCAACAACAGCTACAACAACAGCAGCAACAGCAGCAGCAACAACAGCAACAGCAGCAGCAACAACAGCAGCAGCAACAACAGCAACAACAACAGCAACAACAACAACAGCAACAACAGCAGCAACAACAACAGCAGCAACAACAACAGCAGCAGCAGCAACAGCAACAACAACAGCAACAACAACAACAGCAACAACAGCAGCAACAACAACAGCAGCAACAACAACAGCAGCAGCAGCAACAGCAGCAGCTACAACAACAGCAGCAACAGCAGCAGCAACAACAGCAACAGCAGCAACAACAACAGCAGCAGCAGCAACAGCAGCAGCTACAACAACAGCAGCAACAGCAGCAGCTACAACAACAGCAGCAACAGCAGCAGCAACAACAGCAGCAGCAACAACAGCAGCAACAACAGCAGCATCAACAACAGCAGCAGCATCAACAACAGCAGCAACAACAGCAGCAGCAACAGCAGCATCAACAACAGCAGCAACAACAACAACAGCAGCAACAGCAGCAACAACAGCAGCAGCATCAACAACAGCAGCAGCATCAACAACAGCAGCAGCATCAACAACAGCAGCAGCAAAAACAGCATCAACAACAAAAGCAACAACAGCAGCAACAACAGCAGCAACAACAGCAAGCAGCAGCAACAACAGCAGCAACAACAGCAGCAACAACAGCAAGCAGCAGCAACAACAGCATCAACAACAAAAGCAACAACAGCAAGCAGCAGCAACAACAACAACAACAGCAACAACAGCAAGCAGCAACAACAACAGCAGCAACAGCAACAGCATCAACAACAACAGCAAACCTCCACAAGGGCACCGAAACATCCTTAACCGCAACATCGATGCTGCTGCTATCATCCATGAGAGTAGAACAGAGCAGTACAACAACAAAACAACAACAACAACAAAACAACAGCAGCAACAGCAACAACAGCATCAACAACAACAGCAAACCTCCACAAGGGCACCGAAACATCCTGAACCGCAACATCGATGCTGCTGCTATCATCCACGAGAACAGTACAACAACAATAACAACAACAGCAACAGCACAAGCCGTTCCAAATCGCTGTGACGACGACAACCGTCCAAACTCACAAAGCGTCGGGTTTGGAGGCAGCAGCGGCGGCAGCAGCGCCGCCCTTAAACGCCGGCGTTTCCTCGCCCACGACGGCCGCCACCCCCCACGGCGTCGCCTCCTTCACGGACAGCGACGACGGTGACAGCGACGATGGCGACGCTGGCGGCGACGATGCCGGCGGTGCCCTCGGCAGCTCCGACGACAAATCCGGGTAGAGTCGCGGCGGTGAGGGCGGACCGGCGGCGGCGGTGGCGGCGTCGGAGGAGTGGGACGAGGCGATGGACTCGGAGCTGGAGCTTGGGCTACTGCTGCTGCTGCTGTTGTTGTTGGTGGTGGTGCTGGTGGTGGTGTTGGTGGTGTTGTTGGTGGCGGCTGCTGCGGTGGTGGTGGCGGTTCTTGTTGTTGTTGTTGTGGCGGCCGTGCTGTTTTCAGGCTTCACGTCAACTGCGAAGAGAACGGAATGAGAGTTTGTGATCGACGATGACGATAGTGATGATGGTGATGATGATTGTAGTGATGATGGTGATGATGATTGTAGTGATGATGGTGATGATGATTGTAGTGATGATGGTGATGATGATTGTAGTGATGATGGTGATGATGATTGTAGTGATGATGGTGATGATGATTGTAGTGATGATGGTGATGATGATTGTAGTGATGAGGGTGATGATGATTGTAGTGATGAGGGTGATGATGATGACCATGATGATGTTGATGACAATGATCTCCATTCAACACAATATTAGAGTTTGTGAATATAGATGTAGACTTAACTCAACTTTGCGCTGGCTCATGATGACGAATTTGCTGATGATGTTGAAGACGATGACGACAAAGATGATGTTGATGATGATGACAATAAAGTTGGCGATGATGTTGATTACAATCATGACAAAGACAACGAAGATGTTGATCATGAAGGCGATGATGTTGATGACGATGATGACAAATTTGTATTTAAAGCTTCTTTCGTGACTGCAGGGATTCATCTTCTTGGTTCTTCCGGTAAAGTCACGTAGAAGGGAAGTAATAAAATAATAAAAATATAACGTAATAAAATACAATTCTCACGACGTTTCAGCCACAACGCAAGCAGCCGTCCTCAGGTGAAGAAACAGGTCTGAATGTTTAATTTATGTTTCATTCAGACGCTGTCTTCCCGACAGACCTGTTCTTCACCTGAGGACGGCTGCTTGCGTTGTGGCCGAAACGTCGTGGGAATTGTTAAATGTTTTGTTTTTATTATTTTATTATTTCCCTTCTACGTGGTGACTTTACCGAAAGAACCAAGAAGATGATGACAAAGATGATGACAAAGATGATGACGATGCTGACGAAGATGTTGACAGTGATGATGATGACGACGATATGAAGAAAGATGTTGATGACGATGATGATGTTGACGACGACGATGACAAAGATGATGACGAAGATGTTGACAGTGATGATGACGACGATATGAAGAAAGATGTTGATGACGATGATGTTGTTGATGACGACGATGACGAAGATGTTGACAGTGATGATGATGAAGATGTTGACAGTGATGATGATGACGATATGATGAAAGATGTTGATGACAATGATGATGTTGATGACGATGATGACAAAGATGATGACGAAGATGTTGACAGTGATGATGATATGAAGAAAGATGTTGATGACGATGATGTTGATGACGACGATGACGAAGATGTTGACAGTGATGATGATGAAGATGTTGACAGTGATGATGATGACGACGATATGAAGAAAGATGTTGATGATGTTGTTGTTGACGACGATGTTGTTGATGACGACAACGACGACGATGTTGACGGGTCATCACCTCCGTCCCGGCTGGAGGTCATGTAGACCCCGCCCATGGGCCGAGGGGTCTTGCTACCCACGGCACCACCACCGCCACCACCGCCACCACCGCCACCACCACCGGGCGTCTTGCCATGCCGGTGAGGGACGTTGGGCTGGGGAATCAGCAGGGGGGCGTCCGGGTCAGGGGGTGTCTTGAACACCTGGAGGGAGGGGGGGGGGGGGGGGGGTCAGTGGTGAGATGTTAACTACCTCACCTGGTACACAGGAGGTCCTGGGTTCATTCCTGACCCTGACGCCTGCTGCTGTATATTTGGAGTTTGCGTGTCTCTCTCTCTCTGTGGTGAGATGTTAACTACCTCGCCTGGTCTACAGGAGGTCGTGGGTTCAATCCCGACCCTGACGATGCCTGCTGCTGTATATTTGGAGTTTGCGTGTCTCTCTCTCTCTCCATGGTGAGATGTTGACTACCTCGCCTGGTCTACAGGAGGTCGTGTGTTCAATCCTGACCCCGACGATGCCTGCTGCTGTATATTTGGAGTTTGTGCGTGTCTCTCTCTCCGTGGTGAGATGTTGACTACCTCGCCTGGTCTACAGGAGGTCGTGGGTTCGATCCCGACCCTGACGATGCCTGCTGCTGTATATTTGGAGTTTGTGTGTCTCTCTCTCTCTCCCGTGGATTATGAGCGAGCGCGCTGCACCTTGTCCGCGTTGTCGATGAGGATCTCGATGACGATGTTGTGGAACTTGATCTCCATGATGGCTGCCACCGACTCCTCCTGCGGCCGCATGAGCGTCGGGCCGAAGATCACGCCCAGGTTGGCCACCGTCATGAGGTTCTGCTTGTTGTGACTCGCCACGCTACACACCATCATCAGCACCACCACCACCACCATCAGCATCACCATCATCATCAGCACCACCAGCATCATCATCATCACTATGATCATGAGGTTCAGCTTGTTGTGACTCGCCACGCTACACACCATCACCACCATCATCATCAGCACCATCATAAGCACCATCATCAGCACCATCATCATCGTCATCACCATCAGCACCATCATCATCAGCACCATCATCATCAGCACCATCATCATCAGCACCATCAGCAGCATCATCATCAGCACCATCATCATCAGCACCATCATCAGCACCATCATCAGCACCATCAGCAGCATCATCAGCACCATCATCATCGTCACCATCATCATCGTCACCATCATCAGCACCATCATCAGCATCATCACCATCAGCACCATCACCATCATCACCACCACCATCATCAGCACCACCAGCATCATCATCATCACTATGATCATGAGGTTCAGCTTGTTGTGACTCGCCACTCGACACACATCATCGTCATCATCATCGTCATTATCGTCATCATCATCATTATCATCATCGTCATCATCATCGTCATCATCATCGTCATCATTATCATCATCGTCGCCGCCGCGTGTGGAGGATGAGTTTGTGGTGGTGGTGGACGATGAGTTTGTGGTGGTGGTGGACTTACACGATGAGGTGGTGGACGATGAGTTTGTGGTGGTGGTGGACTTACACGATGAGGTGGTGGACGATGAGTTTGTGGTGGTGGTGGACTTACACGATGAGGAGGTGGACGATGAGTTTGTGGTGGTGGTGGACTTACACGATGAGGAGGTGGACGATGAGTTTGTGGTGGTGGTGGACTTACACGATGAGGTGGTGGACGATGAGTTTGTGGTGGTGGTGGACTTACACGATGAGTAGGTGGACGATGAGTTTGTGGTGGTGGTGGACTTACACGATGAGGAGGTGGACGATGAGTTTGTGGTGGTGGTGGACTTACACGATGAGGTGGTGGACGATGAGTTTGTGGTGGTGGTGGACTTACACCATGTGGTGGTGGACGATGAGTGTGTGGTGGTGGTGGACGATGAGTGTGTGGTGGTGGTGGACGATGAGTTTGTGGTGGTGGTGGACGATGAGTGTGTGGTGGTGGACGATGAGTGTGTGGTGGTGGACGATGAGTGTGTGGTGGTGGTGGACGATGAGTTTGTGGTGGTGGACGATGAGTTTGTGGTGGTGGTGGACTTACACGATGTGGTGGTGGACGATGAGTTTGTGGTGGTGGTGGACGATGAGTTTGTGGTGGTGGTGGACTTACACGATGAGGAGGTGGACGATGAGTTTGTGGTGGTGGTGGACGATGAGTTTGTGGTGGTGGTGGACTTACACGATGAGGTGGTGGACGCTGAGTTTGTGGTGGTGGTGGACTTACACGATGAGGTGGTGGACGCTGAGTTTGTGGTGGTGGTGGACTTACACGATGAGGTGGTGGACGATGAGTGTGTGGTGGTGGTGGACTTACACGATGAGGTGGTGGACGATGAGTGTGTGGTGGTGGTGGACGATGAGTTTGTGGTGGTGGTGGACGATGAGTGTGTGGTGGTGGTGGACGATGAGTTTGTGGTGGTGGTGGACGATGAGTGTGTGGTGGTGGTGGACGATGAGTTTGTGGTGGTGGTGGACGATGAGTGTGTGGTGGTGGTGGACTTACACGATGAGGAGGAGGACGATGAGTTTGTGGTGGTGGTGGACTTACACGATGAGGAGGTGGACGATGAGTTTGTGGTGGTGGTGGACTTACACGATGAGGTGGTGGACGATGAGTTTGTGGTGGTGGTGGACTTACACGATGAGGAGGTGGACGATGAGTTTGTGGTGGTGGTGGACTTACACGATGAGGAGGTGGACGATGAGTTTGTGGTGGTGGTGGACGATGAGTTTGTGGTGGTGGTGGACTTACACGATGAGGAGGAGGACGATGAGTTTGTGGTGGTGGTGGACTTACACGATGAGGTGGTGGACGATGAGTTTGTGGTGGTGGTGGACTTACACGATGAGGAGGAGGACGATGAGTTTGTGGTGGTGGTGGACTTACACGATGAGGAGGTGGACGATGAGTTTGTGGTGGTGGTGGACTTACACGATGAGGAGGAGGACGATGAGTTTGTGGTGGTGGTGGACTTACACGATGAGGTGGTGGACGATGAGTTTGTGGTGGTGGTGGACTTACACGATGAGGAGGTGGACGATGAGTTTGTGGTGGTGGTGGACTTACACGATGAGGTGGTGGACGATGAGTTTGTGGTGGTGGTGGACTTACACGATGAGGTGGTGGACGATGAGTTTGTGGTGGACTTACACGATGAGGTGGTGGACGATGAGTTTGTGGTGGTGGTAGACGCTGAGTTTGTGGTGGTGGTGGACTTACACGATGAGGTGGTGGACGATGAGTTTGTGGTGGTGGTGGACTTACACGATGAGGTGGTGGACGATGAGTTTGTGGTGGTGGTGGACGCTGAGTTTGTGGTGGTGGTGGACTTACACGATGAGGTGGTGGACGATGAGTTTGTGGTGGTGGACGCTGAGTTTGTGGTGGTGGTGGACTTACACGATGAGGTGGTGGACGATGAGCTGCAGCATGTCGCGGTTGGCGTCGGGCAGCTGGTAGACGAGAGCGTGGACCGCCTTCACACGGCTCTCCGGGTTCTCCAGCTCTGCCGTCGTCACGGAGACACGGAGACACGTCGTCATCGTCGTCACGGGGACATGTCATGGAGACGCGTCGTCACGGAGACACGTCATCGTCGTCATGGAGACACGTCGTCACGGAGACACGTCGTCATCGTCGTCACGGAAACACGTCGTCACGGAGACGCGTCGTCACAGAGACACGTCGTCATCGTCGTCACGGAAACACGTCGTCACGGAGACGCGTCGTCACAGAGACACGTCGTCATGGAGACACGTCATCGTCACATCGTCACAAACACGTCGTCATGGAGACACGTCATCGTCACATCGTCACAAACACGTCGTCATGGAGACACGTCGTCACGGAGACACGCCATCGTCACATCGTCATCATCACTAACACGTCGTCACGGAGACACGTTGCCGTGGAGACACGTCATCGCACAGACACGTGGTCACATCTTTACAAGACACACGCACACACAACAACAACAACCGCCATTCGCTACTCAGTGGCGGTGACGTCACCACGACGCTTGTGCCAGGCTAGGTGCACACGTTAAGGCCACGTGACGTGTCGAACGCCCGCTGGCAGGTCACGGGGCAGACCCAGCAGGTGCCACGGGTCGACTGACCGAGATGACCGAGATGACTGGCTGATGCACTACCTGTGCCCCCTACTGTGCCAACTTGCTGTGCTTTAGCCACCCGGCGCTCCGCTCGTTGTTGTGAGCGTCGCTCCTCCACCCTCCGTTGTTGTTGGAGGGCGACTGCCTCCAACTGCCCAGTAGCATCCTTCACGAGCCTCCTCCACAGAGGCCGATCTTGACACCGCTGGTACCAGTCATCGGCAAGTCCACTCAGCTCCACGTCCTCCTGTACCACATCACTCCATCTCTTCTCTAGCCCGTGCCGCGCCCGTTTAGCCCCCTCAATCCGGCCGAACAGAAGCTGTTTAGGCATGCGGTGGCTGGGCATGCGGGCTACATGACCCAGCCAACGCAGCCTTGCCTGCCGGAGGAGCTCACCGATGGGACTTTGCCCAGATCTTTCAAGGACTTGTGAGCTCCTCACACAATCCAGCCTGCAGGTTAAACCCAGGATGGATCGTAGGCAGGCCAGCCTAAATGTTTCCAACCGGCAAAGATACTCCATTAGGGGGGTCCATGTTTAGGCATGCGGTGGCTGGGCATGCGGTGTCTGGGCATGCGGTGGCTGGGCATGCGGTGTCTGGGCATGCGGTGGCTGGGCATGCGGTGGCTGGGCATGCGGTGTCTGGGCATGCGGTGGCTGGGCATGCGGTGTCTGGGCATGCGGTGGCTGGGCATGCGGTGGCTGGGCATGCGGTGTCTGGGCATGCGGTGGCTGGGCATGCGGTGTCTGGGCATGCGGTGGCTGGGCATGCGGTGTCTGGGCATGCGGTGGCTGGGCATGCGGTGTCTGGGCATGCGGTGGCTGGGCATGCGGTGGGCTGGGCATACGGTGGCTGGGGCATGCGGTGGCTAGGCGTGCGGGCTACGTGGCCCAGCCGACGCACAACCAGACACGTCACAAGACATCCTCACAGACACCGTCCCAGGCACGTCGTGTCTCTGGTGGGCTCGTACTTGCGGCAAGAATGAAGCTGGCGTGCAGCTGATGAGTCATCAGGGGTTCGGGGAGAGTCCTACGGGGTCACAACGAGACAAAGACAAAAGATCACCCGTGTAGCCTTTAAGAGGCTGTTGGGGCAAGTGCTGTTAGAGCGAGCACCTATGAAGGCCGGAACAGTACACGAGGGGGTGGGTGGTCAGCACCACACAGACGCACGCACAGACACACACACGCACGCAGACTCGTCAACACAGACACACGCAGACTCAGCAACACAGACATACACGTGCACAGACACACACAGACACACAGACTCGTCAACAGACACACACACACACACAGACTCGTCAACACAGACACACACAGACACACACACACAGACTCGTCAACACAGACACACACACACGCAGACTCGTCAACACAGACACACACACTCACACACAGACTCGTAAACACACACACACACGCAGACTCGACAACACAGACACACGCAGACTCGACAACACACACACACCACGCTCGCACAGACTCGTCAACACAGACACACACACACCACACACACACACCACACACAGACTCGTCAACACAGACACACACACACCACACACACACCACACACAGACTCGTCAACACAGACACACACACACCACACACACACCACACACAGACTCGTCAACACAGACACACACGCACACAGAAACACACAGACACACGCACACACAGACTTGGCAACACAGACACACACACACCACGCTCGCACAGACACACACACACAGAACACCTCCGAGCGTCGCAACATCCAACAGCGGCGCCGTCCTGGGCCCCCCCCCCCCCCTGCCCCCCCCCCCCCCGTGACCGCCAAGGCAACGGGGAAAGTGCTCGCACCTCAGGTAGCTCTTGAGTGCGCTGGTGATCGTCTTGATGTCCCAGTCCTGGGGGCTCTCCAGGTCAACTTCCGCCGCCGTTTTGGGGTCTGGTGGACAAAGACAAACGGTACGACGATGAAGATGATGATGAAGTTGATGACAATGGTGATGGTGACGATGATGGTGACGATGATGGTGATGGTGACGATGACCATGATGGTGACGATGATGGTGGTGATCTTCTTGGTTCTTTCGGTAGTCACGTAGAAGGGAAGTAATAAAATAATAAAAATAAAACATAATAAAATAATTCTCACGACGTTTCGGCCACAACGCAAGCAGCCGTCCTCAGGTGAAGAACAGGTCTGTCGGGGAGACAGAGTCTGAATGAACACCACCAGGCTTGGCAGCGTATATTTAAGCTGCTGGGTTAGAGGGGGAAGAGCGCCTTGACCTGTTCTTCACCTGAGGACGGCTGCTTGCGTTGTGGCCGAAACGTCGTGAGAATTATTTTATTATGTTTTATTTTTATTATTTTATTACTTCCCTTCTACGTGACTTTACCAAAAGAACCATAAAGATGAATCCCTGCAGTCACGAAAGCTTTAAATCGAAATGGTGATGATGACGATGATGGTGACGATGACGATGACAGAAGAGGTGCTAGGCATGGTGGTGTTGATGACGATGATGGTAACGATGACGATGATAGTGATGATGACGATGACGGTGACGATGACGATGATGGTGAAGATGACGATGATGGTGATGATGACGATGACAGAAGAGGTGCTAGGCATGGTGGTGTTGATGACGATGATGGTAACGATGACGATGATAGTGATGATGACGATGACGGTGACGATGACGATGACGGTGATGATGACGATGATGGTGATGATGACGATGACGGTGATGATGACAGAAGAGGTGCTAGGCATGGTGGTGTTGATGACGGTGATGAAGTTGATGATGACCATGATGGTGACGATGATGGTGTTGATGATGATGATGAAGTTGATGATGATGATGACAAAAGCGGTGGTAGTCGTGGCGGTGTTGACGACGATGACAACGACCCTGATTTTGCCATCGCTGCTGGCGATGACGACACATGTCGTGCTGACGAACACCAAGGTGGTGGAGGGCCTCACGACACAATGCGCGTCACCAATCACCGCGGTCCTTACCCACAGCCAGACTCAGCAACTTCTGCACTTTGGAACTGACCCCTACGATCCGGTACAGCCCTTGAGTGGTCACTCCTGAGTTCACATCCAAGGCAAACAAACACCGTCAACAACGCGTGTCAGACGCACGTGAAAGTAAATGCTCGCGTCGTTCGAGAGAATATAAATATTCGTAGGTTTTTTCGGTAAAGTCACGTAGGTAAAAAAATTTAAATTAATAATATTAAAATAAAATAAAAATCACGACGTTTCGGAGGCAACACAAGCTTCCGTCTTTTATTTTACTTTTATTAATTTTAATGTTTTACCTACGTGACTTCGCCGAAAAAACCTAAGAATATGAATCCTTGCAGTCACGAAAGCTTCAAATCTAGAAAGAATATAAATACTCAACTAAACTATTATACCGGTAGGAACCTCCTGGTTACACCAGCCCACAGGGGATTATTGTGTCCGTCGTGCAGGGAGGGGCTGGGTGGGGAGGGAGGGGCTGGGTAGGGAGGGTGGGGAGGGGCTGGGTGGGGAGGGTAGGGCTGGGTGGGGAGGGGCTGGTCACCCCGTGGTGCCCTTATACAACTCAACGTTTAACCTACTCACGCCGGCTTGTGCCCGCCCTCACAGTCGGACATATTTGCGGAATACACCACGCCGCCGTTGACCCTGCAGGCCATTGACCGAGCAACCCAACGTTCCTACCAGCTCCCTCCGCAGGACAATGTGTTAACATCGCCACAAAAATCCACAAAGCGCTTAGCAGTGAGAACACGCAACAGCCAATGAGATGGCGACTCACACAGAGACCCGTAGACTCACGCAGAGACCCATCGACTCGCACAGAGACCCATAGACTCGCACAGAGACCCATAGACCCACACAGAGACACACAGACTCACACAGACACCCATAGACTCACGCAGAGACCCATCGACTCACACAGAGACCCATAGACTCACACAGAGACTCATAGACTCACACAGAGACCCATAGACTCACACAGAGACACTCAGACTCACACAGAGACTCATAGACTCACACAGAGACCCATCGACTCACACAGAGACTCATAGACTCACACAGAGACCCATAGACTCACACAGAGACACATAGACTCACACAGAGACACACAGACTCACACAGAGACTCATAGACTCACACAGAGACCCATAGACTCACACAGAGACTCATAGACTCACACAGAGACCCATAGACCCACACAGAGACCCATAGACTCTCACAGACCCATAGACTCACACAGAGACCCATAGACAAACACAGAGACCCATAGCCCCACACAGAGATCCATATACTCACACAGAGAGACCCATAGACTCACACAGAGACCCATAGACTCACACAGAGACCCACAGACTCACACAGAGACCCATAGACTCACACAGAGACACAGACTCACACAGAGACACATAGACTCACACAGAGACCCATAGACTCACACAGAGACCCATAGACCCACACAGAGACACACAGACTCACACAGAGACCCATAGACTCACGCAGAGACCCATCGACTCACACAGAGACCCATAGACTCACACAGAGACCCATAGACTCACACAGTTTCAGAGACCCATAGACTTCCACAAAGATATTTGAATTGACACTCACCTCTCGTTTCAACCGCAGAGATGCAATTTCTTACAAAGTTGAAGCCCAAATCATTGAGTTGCGCTGGAAGGGAGAATATTGAAACACACAGGAGGGGTCGGTGAATTATCTTTTTAAATCCTTTATATTAAGTTCACTTGCTTGCTTGCTTAGGACCGTGCAAATCTTTAGGCCGTTTTTTAACCCACTTCCCGTGATCCAATCGAGCTGACATTTTGCACACCACCAAGCTTGGCAGCGTATATTTCAGCTGGGTTGGAGGGGGAAGAGCGCCTTGACAAAGGAATTTCCATATATTGTCAAGGCGCTCTGCCCCCCTCCATCTCAGCTTAAATAGACGCTCCAAGCCTGGGGTGTGTCATTCAGACTGTCTTCTCGACAGACCTGTTCTCCACATGAGGACGGCTGCTTGCGTTGTGGCCGAAACGTCGTGAGAATTGTATTTTATTATGTTGTATTTTTATTATTTTATTATTTCCCTTCTACGTGATGACTTTACCGAAAGAACCAAGAAGATGAATCCCTGCAGTCACGAAAGCTTTAAACTGCTCTAGAGGAGTTGAACACCCCTAGCTGATACTGCTATTCAGTGGCGTGAAATCAAATGCATCGCTCCGGATGTCCGCTGTAAAGTATGATCTTGAGTTTCGATTATGGTGTGCTGATCTTTAAAGGTGCATTGACAAATGTTGATACTGCTACTGATACTCCTGCTGTTATGGAGTGACTCATGCAGCCAGCTATGGCTGCAAAGTTTGGTCGTACACCGAAATTAACTCTGTTAAAAATGGGGTATGCCGATAGCATAAAAATGAGATGTGATAGAGAAAATCTGAGAGCAGGTTTGGAATCGGCACCCTGAAATTAGTCTAGAACAGCTGCAAAAGTCCAGGCCAGAAAAAAGTTGTTTTTTGTTGTTGACCAGTGTAATAAATGAACTCAATATGAGTGGTCCGTGGAAGAGGATCACACAGAGCTACATCTGAGACCCCCTTCTTCGTCAAATGACTCTCTGGTCCACACGCAGTAGAGGGCAGTGCATCTCCCAACGTTGCCGCGTCGCACGAGCAGTTGAACCAAAACGTTGACAAAATTCTCAAAGGGCTGCAATTTTTTTTGCCAAATGAAAGTGGAAGTCACCGCTACGCTACGACGGGGATTTCTTCTGTTGTGCGCTGCCACTCACAGGTGACCCGGGCTGAGGCAATCAACTTCGCTGCGCTTTGAATACCCAGATCGGTGGTGATGAGCACTGTTGCTGGTGAGGTGTGCGGTGAGTTCAGTAGTGGTGAGCTGTGCGGTGAGTTCACTACTGGTGCTGGAGATACAAGCGCGCACACACAGACACACACACATACATACACAGACCAACATACACAGACCAACACACGCAGACACACAGACACACACAGACACACAGACCAACACAGACACACACACAGACAGACACACACAGACCAACACACACAGACACACACACATACACACAGACCGACACACACAGACACATAGACCAACACACACAGACACACACACAGACACAAAGATCCCCGTATAGGGGATATAAGTTAAGATTCCTACTTGTTCAATGTATGCACCGTCCCGCCATAGTGAATTCCTTGTCTGTGCAAACTTACATGGCGATTAAAACCGTTTCTGATTCTGATTCTGATAGCCTGGAACAGACTGTTGGGGCAAATGCTGTTAGCGAGCACCTATGAAGGCCGGAACGGCACACGAGAGGGTGGGTGGCCAGCACCACGCCCGACCGCCTTTGTCTCCCTAGTGGCGATGTTTACACACCGCACCAGGTACTCATTTGAGGCTGAGTCGACCTAGGGGAGGCCCGGGACCGGTTCAGATAATCGTCACTGGTGTTGGCCGTGAGCGGGAATCGAACCTGTGTCGCCAGGTTCATAGCGCAGCGTAGCGCTAACCACTACACTATCGCACACAGACACACACACAGACACACACACACAGACACACACAGACACACACGCACAGACATACAGACACACACGCACAGACATACAGACACACACGCACAGACATACAAACCAACACACACAGACACACAGACACACACGCAGAGACACACACACAGACACACACACAGACACACACACACAGACACACACGCACAGACATACAGACACACACACACAGACATACAAACCAACACACACAGACACACAGACACACACACACAGACACACACAGACACACACAGACACACACAGACACACACAGACACACACAGACACACACAGACACACACAGCTGTTCCTTAAACATAAAATATTTTCGAAACTTACTCTCCTCCCGCTTGCTGTTTAGTCTTGGCATTGTGTAAACCTGCAAAACACACGAAAAAATATTATTAATTGACTTCATAAAAATAAAACAATTTCCTCTTGGGCTAATGAGTTATCCCCTCCAACACAAAGACACCCTCTCTTTGTGGGGGTGTATGAAATTCATAGACCCAGAGACTCGCACAGAGACCCATAGAATCACACAGAGGACCATAGACTCACACAGAGACCCATAGACTCACACAGAGGACCATAGACTCACACAGAGACCCATAGACTTACACAGAGACCCATAGACTCACACAGAGGACCATAGACTCACATCGAGACCCATAGACTTACACAGAGACCCATAGACTCACACAGAGACCCATAGACTCACACAGAGACCCATAGACAGGCACAGAGACCCATAGACTCACATCGACAACCATCGGCTCACATAGAGATGCACTAATAGACTGACACAGAGACCCATTGACTCACAGAGAGACCCATAGAATCACGCAGAGGACCATAGACTCACACAGAGACCCGTAGACTCACACAGAGACCCATAGACTCGCAGAGAGACCCACAGGCTCACACAGAGACCCATAGACTCGCACAGAGACCCATAGACTCACACAGAGACCCATAGACTCGCACAGAAACCCATAGACTCACAGAGAGACCCATAGACTCACACAGAGACCCATAGAATCACACAGAGGACCATAGACTCACACAGAGACCCGCAGAGACTCAGAGACCCTGAGGCTCACACAGAGACTCGTAGACTAACAGAGACCCAGAGACCCACGTAGAAACACACAAAGCCAATGTGATTCGTGGTCAAACATTCTACGCGACCACGGGGAGAGAGAGAAACACGCAAACTCCAAATATACAGCAGGGGCCCGGATCGAACCCACGACTTCCTTTAGACCAGGCGAGGTAGTTAACATCTCCTAGCCACCGTGATGATAATGATGAGAGAGAGAGAGAGAGAGACACGAAAACTCCAAATATACCACAAGGCGTCGCCAGGGTCGGGCTTCGAACCCACGACCTCCTGTAGACCAGGCGAGGTAGTTAACATCTCACCATGGAGAGAGAGAGAGACACGCAAACTCCAAATATACAGCAGGCGTCAGGGTCGGGATCGAACCCACGACCTCCTGCGTACCAGGTGAGGTAGTCAACATCTCGCCACCGTGGCAAGGTCTTATTGGGCCAATAAACAGCCAAATAACTCTAAAACGCGTGGACGTTGATTCTAAATGTGGAGGGGGGGAAAACCGTGGTACGCCCGGAGAAAAATCCACGCGGAGAGAGAGACACGCAAACTCCAAATATACAGCAGGCGTAGATCTGGATGTCCTGTCCCCCGTCAGAGGAACGTGTAATTTCCGCCAAACGGCTCCGTGTCTCTCCGTGGGGCGCGACTCACGGGTTCTTTGCCATCCATCGCTTCCATCCACAGCTTCCGCTCATCCTCCGAGGGAGCCTGCAGCGTCATGACGGTTGGTCTGGAAGGCATCGACATCACGGTCATCGTCGTCATCGTCGTCATCGTCATCATCATCATCAGCAGCAGCAGCAGCATCGACATCGTCTTAAGTAGCATCATCATCAGCAGCAGCATCACCATCGTCTTAAGTAGCATCAGCAGCATCATCGCCATCGTCTTAAGTAGCATCATCATCATCATCAGCAGCAGCAGCATCGCCATCATCTTAAGTAGCATCATCAGCAGCAGCAGCAGCATCGCCCTCGTCTTAAGTAGCATCATCAGCAGCAGCAGCATCGCCATCGTCTTAAGTAGCATCATCATCAGCAGCAGCATCGCCCTCGTCTTAAGTAGCATCATCATCAGCAGCAGCAGCATCGCCATCGTCTTAAGTAGCATCATCATCAGCAGCAGCAGCAGCAGCAGCAGCATCGCCATCGTCTTAAGTAGCATCATCATCAGCAGCAGCAGCAGCAGCAGCAGCATCGCCATCGTCTTAAGTAGATTCATCATCATCATCATCAGCAGCAGCAGCATCGCCATCGTCTTAAGTAGCATCATCATCAGCAGCAGCATTGCCATCGTCTTAAGTAGCATCATCAGCAGCAGCAGCATCGCCATCGTCTTAAGTAGCATCATCATCAGCAGCAGCAGCAGCATTGCCATCGTCTTAAGTAGCATCATCAGCAGCAGCAGCAGCAGCATCGCCATCGTCTTAAGTAGATTCATCATCATCATCAGCAGCAGCAGCAGCAGCATCGCCATCGTCTTAAGTAGCATCATCATCAGCAGCAGCAGCAGCATCGCCATCGTCTTAAGTAGCATCATCATCATCAGCAACAGCAGCAGCATCGCCATCGTCTTAAGTAGATTCATCATCATCATCAGCAGCAGCAGCATCGCCATCATCTTAAGTAGCATCATCAGCAGCAGCATCACCATCGTCTTAAGTAGCAGCAGCAGCAGCAGCAGCATCGCCATCATCTTAAGTAGCATCATCAGCAGCAGCATCGCCATCGTCTTAAGTAGCATCATCATCATCAGCAGCAGCAGCAGCATCGCCATCGTCTTAAGTAGATTCATCATCAGCAGCAGCAGCAGCATCGCCATCATCTTAAGTAGCATCATCATCAGCAGCAGCATCACCATTGTCTTAAGTAGCATCATCAGCAGCAGCAGCAGCATCGCCATCGTCTTAAGTAGATTCATCATCAGCAGCAGCAGCAGCATTGCCATCATCTTAAGTAGCATCATCATCAGCAGCAGCAGCAGCATCGCCATCATCTTAAGTAGCATCATCAGCAGCAGCAGCAGCAGCATCGCCATCATCTTAAGTAGCATCATCAGCAGCAGCAGCAGCATCGCCCTCGTCTTAAGTAGCATCATCAGCAGCAGCAGCATCGCCATCGTCTTAAGTAGCATCATCATCAGCAGCAGCATCGCCCTCGTCTTACGTCACATTTCCCACGTCGCGTGCCCAATGTCACGTGTGCCAGCTGTCATCACGTGTCACATGTCGCGTGTCCCGTGTGCCACGCGTGTGTCAGGTGTCATCACATGTCACATGCGTGTGTCAGGTGCCGCAAGCCTCCGACCTGTCGATGGCCTCGATGTCGAAGCAGAAGCGTTTCTCGATGGAGTCGGTTTTTCGCCGCACGCACGATTTGAGCTGGAACGAGTCCCGCTCTCCTTGTGGACTCAACACCAGTCCGTTCTGACACGCGGAGACACACACAGAGACCCCCAATCCACCACCACCGCCAACTCATGTAGCCTTAGCGGTAATCCTGCACAATGCACGGGCATATGCAGTACTAATCACATACCTGCATTTCCCATATCACATACCTGCATTTCCCTTATCCCCCTCCCTTTGATGCTGCTAACCCTGCATAATGCACGGGCATATGCAGTACTAATCACATACCTGCATTTCCCATAAATATGCTAAATTCCTCTTGATATGCATATTCTTTTTTTAAGGCTCCCCCTTTCAACCTAGCTTATATACATGCTCCAAGCTCGTGTGCTGTTTCATTCAGACGCTGTCGCCTCGACAGACCTGGTTTCACCTGAGGACGGCTGCTTGCGTTGTGGCCGAAACGTCGTGAGAATAATTTTATTATTTTATTATTTCCCTTCTAAGTGGTGACTTTACCGAAAGAACCAAGAAGATGAATCCCTGCAGTCACGAAAGAAGCTTTAAATCGAAATTTAGCGAACTTGTCGGGGCAAGCACTGATAGCGAACAGCACCGACACACGAAGGCTGAGCCGACCTAGGGGAGGCCCAGGAGCGGTTCAGATAATCGTCACCGGTGGCGTTGGCCGCGAGCGGGAATCGAACTTGCCGGGTTCGTAGCGCAGCGTAGCGCTAACCGCTACACTACACTACACGCGCGCAGACACAAAGATCCCCCGTATAGCCTTAACAGACTGTAGGGGAAAGTGCTGTTAGCGAGCACCTATGAAGGCCGCAACGGTACACGAGGGGGTGGGTGGCCAGCGCCACGCCCGACCGCCTTTGTCTCCCCAGTGGCAATGTTTACACACCGCACCAGGTACTCATTTGAGGCTGAGTCGACCTAGGGGAGGCCCGGGACCGGTTCAGATAATCGTCACTGGTGTTGGCCGTGAGCGGGAATCGAACCCGTGTCGCTGGGTTCATAGCGCAGCGCGCTAACCGCTACACTACCGCTCCCCACCACGCAGACACACACACACAGACACACATACAGTGCGTACCTACCACGTCCTATAACCCAGCCTCCGAACCGCTTACCCGACCCCTCCGCGCGCACTCCACGCTCGCGCAGACTCACCGTTCGCGTAACCCGTGGGCTAAGGGGTGGGGGGGGGGGTGGGGGAGCGGTGTTTTACCAGCTTCCCGGTCGGCTTCGGGTCGTAGGCGAGCATGGAGAAGTAGCCCGTGTTCTTGCTGTAGCAGCAGTAGTGCTTCACCCACGCGGAGCCAAAGTGACCTGCAGGCATGGCGGGGGGGGGGAGGGAGGGTGGTGGTTCACAACATTTGTCCGTGTCTCAAGGCTACGTGTGTGTGTGTCAGTGTCTCAAGGCTACGTGCGTGTGTCCGTGTCTCAAGGCTACGTGCGTGTGTCCGTGTCTCAAGGCTACGTGCATGTGTGTCAGTGTCTCAAGGCTACGTGCGTGTGTGTGTCAGTGTCTCAAGGCTACGTGCGTGTGTGCGTGTATCTCAAGGCTACGTGCGTGTGTGTCAGTGTCTCAAGGCTACGTGCGTGTGTCAGTGTCTCAAGGCTACGTGCGTGTGTCAGTGTCTCAAGGCTACGTGCGTGTGTCCGTGTCTCAAGGCTACGTGCGTGTGTGTCAGTGTCTCAAGGCTACGTGCGTGTGTCCGTGTCTCAAGGCTACGTGCGTGTGTCCGTGTCTCAAGGCTACGTGCGTGTGTGTCAGTGTCTCAAGGCTACGTGCGTGTGTCCGTGTCTCAAGGCTACGTGCGTGTGTCCGTGTCTCAAGGCTACGTGCGTGTGTGCGTGTCTCAAGGTGTACAGTCTGGAAAGTACCCACATGACAAATTTCAAGTTTGTTGCACGTCGGGAAGTACGCTAAACATTTTGAACAGACGCACATAATCACAGCTTTGCCTTCCATACACCTGAGGACGGCTGCTTGCGTTGTGGCCGAAACGTCGTGAGAATTATTTTATCTTTTATTTTTATTATTTTATTATTTCCCTTCTACGTGACTTTACCGAAAGAACCAAGAAGATGAATCCCTGCAGTCACGAAAGCTTTAAATCGAAAAATATACGGAGATGTTTATATATGTAACAAAATGGGCTTCATATCATCTCCGGCAAGAACAAAATGAGGAGTTAAGATGCTCAAACACCAAGCAGACAGAGACAAATTTCGAAAAAATTAACCCGTAAAAACAAAGTTTTTCACTATAAATCCTTTATATGCGTGTTCAATGGGCCACAACCCAGCCCACATTGGTCTTTGAAACGGGCGGCTAGAGTCCTCTCGTCCTCTGGCTTGAGATGGCTGCCACCTATGGGTCAGATGATTGCCTGCCACCATTAAGCAATTGGTAATTAAATGTAATTTATTTTTTCCTAAAAAGTGTAAAGTTTTGGGAAAAAAATTTCACGAAAAGAAATTGTCACGCACAACGAGTCTGTGTGCAAAATGTCAGCTCGACTGGATCATGGGAAGTGGGTTAAAAAACGACCGAAAGATTTGCACGGTCATAAGCAAGCAAGCAAGCGAACTTAATATAAAAGATTTAAATAAAAACGACCGAAAGATTTGCACGGTCGTAAGCGCGCAAGCAAGCAAGCGCGCAAGCAAGCGCGCAAGCAAGCGAACTTAATATAAAGGATTTAAAAAGACGCTTTGATGAAATCACGCAACCACCGTCCTTGAAACCGAGGGCCTCCACCAGAGCTACAGTGTCTGCACCGGCGTTAGACCCGATAGCAACTTCAATAGGAGCAGAGTAGAAGCAAACACTTTGTTTGTTACTAATGTAACGTGATGCAGTCCTTGAAGCCAACTGACCTACACCAGAGGCAGCCGCCTTAATGGCCTTGTCTCTGTACCGGGTGATATGGAGCAAAGAACAAAGCCAAAGAATTTGGACGAGTGGGTGAGTGAGTGAGTGAGTGGGTGGGTGAGTGAGTGGGTGAGTGATTGGGTGGGTGAGTGAGTGGGTGAGTGGGTGAGTGAGTGAGTGGGTGAGTGAGTGGGTGAGTCATTGGGTGGGTGAGTGAGTGGGTGAGTGATTGGGTGAGTGGGTGGGTGAGTGGGTGAGTGAGTGGGTGGGTGATTGGGTGGGTGGGTGGGTGAGTGAGTGGGTGAGTGAGTGAGTGAGTGGGTGAGTGGGTGGGTGAGTGGGTGAGTGGGTGGGTGAGTGGGTGAGTGGGTGGGTGGGTGAGTGGGTGGGTGGGTGGGTGAGTGAGTGGGTGAGTGGGTGGGTGGGTGAGTGGGTGGGTGAGTGAGTGGGTGAGTGATTGGGTGGGTGAGTGAGTGGGTGAGTGAGTGGGTGAGTGAGTGAGTGGGTGGGTGAGTGGGTGAGTGATTGGGTGGGTGAGTGAGTGGGTGAGTGGGTGAGTGAGTGAGTGGGTGAGTGAGTGGGTGAGTCATTGGGTGGGTGAGTGAGTGGGTGAGTGAGTGGGTGAGTGAGTGGGTGAGTGAGTGGGTGAGTGAGTGGGTGAGTGAGTGGGTGAGTGGGTGAGTGGGTGAGTGAGTGGGTGAGTGGGTGGGTGAGTGAGTGGGTGAGTGAGTGGGTGAGTGAGTGGGTGAGTGAGTGGGTGAGTGAGTGAGTGAGTGGGTGAGTGGGTGGGTGAGTGGGTGAGTGGGTGAGTGGGTGAGTGGGTGGGTGAGTGGGTGAGTGGGTGAGTGGGTGGGTGAGTGGGTGGGTGAGTGGGTGAGTGGGTGAGTGGGTGGGTGAGTGGGTGAGTGGGTGGGTGGGTGAGTGAGTGAGTGGGTGAGTGAGTGGGAGAGTCATTGGGTGAGTGGGTGAGTGGGTGAGTGGGTGAGTGATTGGGTGAGTGATTGGGTGAGTGATTGGGTGATTGGGTGAGTGGGTGATTGGGTGAGTGGGTGAGTGACTGGGTGGGTGAGTGAGTGGGTGAGTGGGTGAGTGATTGGGTGAGTGATTGGGTGAGTGAGTGGGTGAGTCATTGGGTGAGACATTGGGTGAGTCATTGGGTGAGTGATTGAGTGAGTGAATGGGTGAGTGAGTGGGTGAGTGGGTGGGTGAGTGGGTGAGTGAGTGAGTGGGTGGGTGATTGGGTGAGTGGGTGATTGGGTGAGTGGGTGATTGGGTGGGTGATTGGGTGAGTGGGTGAGTGATTGGGTGAGTAAGTGGGTGAGTGATTGAGTGAGTGAATGGGTGAGTGAATGGGTGAGTGAATGGGTGGGTGAGTGAATGGGTGAGTGAATGGGTGGGTGAGTGAGTGATTGAGTGAGTGAGTGATTGGGTGAGTGAGTGGGTGAGTCATTGGGTGGGTGAGTTATTGGGTGAGTGGGTGAGTGAGTGAGTGATTGAGTGAGTGATTGGGTGAGTGAATGGGTGAGTGAGTGATTGGGTGAGTGGGTGAGTGAGTGAGTGATTGGGTGAGTGATTGGGCGAGTCATTGAGTGAGTGGGTGAGTGGGTGAGTGAGTGGGTGAGTGATTGGGTGAGTGATTGGGTGAGTGAGTGAGTGATTGAGTGAGTGGGTGGCTGAGTGATTGGGTGAGTGACTGGGTGAGTGATTGGGTGAGTGATTGGCCGAGTCATTGAGTGAGTGGGTGAGTGAGTGAGTGATTGAGTGAGTGGGTGAGTTAGTGATTGGGTGAGTGAGTGATTGGGTGAGTGAGTGGGTGTGTGGGTGAGTGAGTGGGTGAGTGATTGAGTGAGTGATTGGGTGAGTGAATGGGTGAGTGAATGGGTGAGTGGGTGAGTGAGTGGGTGAGTGAATGGGTGAGTGAATGGGTGAGTGATTGGGTGAGTGATTGGGTGAGTCACTGGGTGAGTAAGTGGGTGAGTGATTGAGTGAGTGAGTGAGTGAGTGGGTGAGTGAGTGAGTGGGTGAGTGAATGGGTGAGTGAATGGGTGAGTGGGTGAGTGAGTGGGTGAGTGAGTGGGTGAGTGAATGGGTGAGTGACTGGGCGAGTGATTGGGTGAGTGAATGGGTGAGTCATTGGGTGAGTGATTAGGCGAGCGAGCGAGCGAGCGAGCAAACTCCTGCACTGACGTACGTTTCTCCAGCATGAAGAGGTAGCCCTCGATGACGAACGGGTTCTGGGGGACGCGCGCTCCAAACGAGGTGTTCATCTTCTGCATCAGCTGCTCCACCTCGGAGCGCGTGCTCTCAAAGCGCTCCCGCGTCTACGCCGACGGACGACAAACAGAACCAAAACAATTGTTCACACACCGCGAGGAAATCCGATGAGCCGTGAAGCTCTTTATGACAGATGTCCGGGAGGGTCACGGGGTGAGAACGCCACGACAACAGACACAATACGAAAGCACGGCAGTCGTGCAAAGTGCAAGAAAGGTAAAGGATCACCCAAACACAAACAAATACGTGTCCTCTCTCTGTGTGTCCTTGTGATGTCTGTCTGCTTGTACGTCTGTCTATAGTTTTCTAGTTAGATAATTTTTGTTGCTATTTCTTTTATGCCTGATGATGATTGCTTGTGTTGCAATCGAAACGTCGTAATATGCTATTATTTAATTTATTATTTTGTCTTTAGACGTGACTTTACCGAAAGAACCAAAGAATAAATACAACTACACCATCGCCATCCCACCAGGCCAAAACAATAACAACAAGACAAAGATCCCCTGGGTAGTCTCGCAGACTGAAGAGGCAAGGGGGGGGTGGGCTTGTTGGCGAGCACCTATTGAGATTATTTGGCTCCTGATAAGCCACTTCGTTGAGCGACAGCCACGTCGCTGATGACAAGATACGCCGAGAGCAACGTGGTGGTGGTGGTGATGGTGGTGGTGGTGGGGGAGGTGATGATGATGGTGGTGGTGGTGGGGGAGGTGATGATGGTGGTAGTGGTGGTGATGATGGTGGTGGTGGTGGGGGAGGTGATGATGGTGGTGGTGGTGGGGGAGGTGGTGGTGGTGGTGGTGGGGGAGGTGGTGGTGATGGTGGTGGTGATGGTGGTGGCGGTGATGATGGTGGTGATGATGGTGGTGGTGATGATGATGGTGGTGGTGGTGGCGGAGGTGATGATGGTGGTGGTGATGATGATGGTGGTGGTGATGATGCTGATGAAGATGGTGGTGGTGAAGATGGTGGTGGTGATGGTGGTGGTGGTGATGATGATGGTGGTGGTGATGGTGCTGATGAAGATGGTGGTGGTGATGAAGAAGATGATGATGATGATGCTGATGATGGTGATGATGCTGATGATGGTGGTGGTGGTGATGATCATCGTGCCGGGCGTATCGACGGCTGTGTAGGTGGCACGCGTACTCACGTTCTGGATGTTGCCCTGCAGGAAGTGCTGGTAGTGGTGGAACTCCTTGGCGAGCTCGTAGCCCTGGTGGTAGAACGTGAAGAGACCCTGGAGAAATGCCAGCAGCTGTGAGAGGGGAAGACGCGGGGACGGGGGGAGGGATGGTAGGACTTTACACACGGCTACGATGATGATGAAGGCAACACCAATGATGATGATGAAGGCAACACCGATGATGATGATGGAGACAACACCGATGATGATGATGATGGAGACAACACCGATGATGATGATGATGGAGACAACACCAATGATGATGATGATGATGAAGGCAACACCGATGATGATGATGATGATGAAGGCAACACCGATGATGATGATGATGGAGACAACACCGATGATGATGATGATGATGGAGACAACACCGATGATGATGATGATGATGAAGGCAACACCGATGATGATGATGGAGACAACACCGATGATGATGATGATGGAGACAACACCGATGATGATGATGATGATGGAGACAACACCAATGATGATGATGAAGGCAACACCGATGATGATGATGATGATGAAGGCAACACCGATGATGATGATGATGGAGACAACACCGATGATGATGATGATGGAGACAACACCGATGATGATGATGATGAAGGCAACACCGATGATGATTGATGAAGGCAACACCGATGATGATGATGATGGAGACAACACCGATGATGATGATGATGGAGACAACACCGATGATGATGATGATGATGAAGGCAACACCGATGATGTGATGATGAAGGCAACACCGATGATGATGATGAAGGCAACACCGATGATGATGATGAAGGCAACACCGATGATGATGATGATGATGAGGCAACACCGATGATGATGATGATGGCAACACCGATGATGATGATGATGAAGGCAACACCGATGATGATGATGATGATGAAGGCAACACCGATGATGATGATGATGATGAAGGCAACACCGATGATGATGATGGAGACAACACCGATGATGATGATGATGGAGACAACACCGATGATGATGATGATGGAGACAACACCAATGATGATGATGATGATGAAGGCAACACCGATGATGATGATGTTGATTGAGACAATTCTAGATTTACCTTGATACAGTAAATCGAGCTGTGACGGTCCCACCTGATGACGGAGACTTGTGTTGCCTTCCGAAACGTCGTGATTTTTAATTTTATTTCTATTATTTTATTTATTTTTACCTACGTGACTTTACCGAAAAAAACCTAAGAGTATGAAGAAGACAATGACGACACTGATGATGATGATGATCATGACGATGATGATGATGACGATGACAACACCGATGATGATTAAATCCATGATGCCGACGTTGATATCGATGCCCAAGACAATGACAACGCTGATGATGATGATCATGACGATGGCGATGATGATGATGACGATGATCATGACGATGGCGATGATGCTGATGACGATGGCAACACCGACGACGATTAAGTCCATGATGCCGACGTTGATACCGATGCCCAAGACAATGACAACGCTGATGACGATCATCAAGTCCACGATGGTGACGATGACGACGATGACGGCGATGACGGTGACCGTGACGACGGTGGCGATGACGGTGACGACGGTGACCGTGACGACGGTGGCGATGACGGTGACGGTGATGACGGTGACCGTGACGACGGTGGCGATGACGGTGACGGTGATGACGACCTTACCGGCTCCACAAACTCAAACTTCTTGCGCTCCTGCACCTCCTGCACCTTGCACACGTACTGCAGGGAGACCTCGTTGAAGTGCCTCCGTGTCACCTCCAGCTGCGTGTCGGCCTGCACAGCAGACGCGCGCAGAGACACGCGCAGAGACACGCAGACGCACGCAGACACACACAGACACAAGCAGAGACACGCGCAGAGACACGCAGAGACACACAGACACACGCAGAGACACGCGCAGAGACACGCAGACGCACGCAGACGCACACAGACACACGCAGAGACACACGCAGAGACACACGCAGAGACACACGCACACAGAGACACACGCAGAGACACGCAGACACACGCAGACACACGCAGACACACACGCAGAGACACACACAGACACATACAGAGACACACACACACACACAGACAGAGACACACACAGACACACGCAGACACACGCCAGACACACGCAGGCAGAGACACATACAGACACATGCAGACACACAGAGACACACGCAGAGACACGCAGACACACACAGACACACGCACAGACACACACAGACACACGCAGAGACACGCACAGACACACGCAGACACATACAGGCAGAGACGCACACAGACACACGCAGGCAGAGACACACACAGACACACGCAGGCAGAGACACACGCAGAGACACACACAGAGACACGCAGAGACACACGCAGAGACACACGCAGAGACACGCAGAGACACACACAGACACACGCAGAGACACACACAGACACACGCAGAGACACACACAGACAAACGCAGAGACACACGCAGGCGCACGCAGATGGACACATCCACAGACAGACATACGCAGACACACATTTTCAGGTTGGGGGGCATCAGTCAGCGTGAGGGGCCACCACCAAATGGTCAATCGTCTGCTGGATTACACATTGCCCATCACCATCAATATCATCATCAGCAGCGGCAACAGCATCAGCGGTACCAACATCAGCATCTCACTCATCACAATCATCATCAATGGCATCACCGTCACAATCACAATCATCATTATGAGAAAAATATCATCAATACCAGTGTTACTCACTGCCCATCACCATCAATATTATCATCAGCAGCGGCAACTGCATCAGCGGTACCAACATCAGCATCTCACTCATCACAATCATCATCAATGGTATCACCATCACAATCATCATCATCATCATCATCATGAGAAAAATATCATCAACACCAGTGTTACCCATTACCCATCACCATCAATATTATCATCAGCAGCGGAAACTGCATCAGCGGTACCAACATCAGCATCTCACTCATCACAATCATCATCAATGGTACCACCATCAAAATCATCATCATCATGAGAAAAATATCATCAACACCAGTGTTACTCATTACCCATCACCATCAATATTATCATCAGCAGCGGCAACAGCATCAGCGGTACCAACATCAGCATCTCACTCATCACAATCATCATCAATGGTATCACCGTCACAATCATCATCATCATGAGAAAAATATCATCAACACCAGTGTTACTCATTACCCATCACCATCAATATTATCATCAGCAGCGGCAACAGCATCAGCGGTACCAACATCAGCATCTCATCTCATCACAATCATCATCAATGGTACCACCATCACAATCATCGTCATCAGCAAAATTATCATCATCACCATCAGCATCGATATTATTAAAATCGGCAGCATCAGCAGATTACGATCATCAGCATCATCCACCACGATCAATAATATTGTCAACGTCATAAATCATCATCAATGGTACCACCATCACAATCATCGTCATCAGCAAAATTATCATCATCACCATCAGCATCGATATTATTAAAATCGGCAGCATCAGCAGATTACGATCATCAGCATCATCCACCACGATCAATAATATTGTCAACGTCATAAACAGCAGCCTTGGATGTACGTTAAACTTCTTTCGCAACGTACATAGCTAACCGTGCTTCATAATCAGCAGCGTCATCATCATCATCATCGCCATCGCCCTCTGGAGTGTATAAAATAAGTAACGCATTGTAGAATGTCGTACAGAGTGCCAATAAGCAAACGTCACCCTACCCCCGCCCCGACTGTGAAGACTGAAACCTGGTTAATGTTTGCCAATGTCGGGGGGGCAATAACGTTACAAGATTCTGCCGGAACTTTGTGGTCACGTGTCCCTCTGTCACTGCGAATGTGTACGTGTCAGCGTGTACGTGTCAGCGTGTACGTGTCAGCGTGTACGTGTCAGCGTGTACGTGTCAGCGTGTACGTGTCAGCGTGTACGTGTCAGCGTGTACGTGTCAGCGTGTACGTGTCAGCTCGTAGTGTAGCGGTTAGCGCTACGCTGCGCTACGAACCTAGCGACCCGGGTTCGATTCCCGCTCACGGCCAACACCCAGTGACGATTATCTGAACCGGTCCTGGGGCCTTCCCCTAGGTCGACTCAGCCTCAAATGAGTACCTGGTGCGGTGTGTAAACATCGTCACTGGGGAGACAAAGGCGGTCGGGCGTGGTGCTGGCCACCCACCCCCTCGTGTGCTGTTCCGGCCTTCATAGGTGCTCGCTAACAGCACTTGCCCCTATAGTCTGTTGAGGCTACACGGGGGATCTTGTCTTTGTTAGATGCGGGAGGGGAGCGGTGGTGCCGCGGTTTGCGTGCCACGCCCTACAAAGCCCGAGTTCGATACCCGGTTAAATGTCTGCACCGGTCCTGTGCCTCCCCTTTAGGTCGACTCAGCCTCAAGTACCCTGGTGCGAATTTCGATTTAAAGCTTCTTTCGTGACTGCAGGGATTCATCTTCTTGGTTCTTTCGGTAAAGTCATCACGTAGAAGGGAAATAATAAAATAATAAAAATAAAACATAATAAAATACAATTCTCACGACGTTTCGGCCACAACGCAAGCAGCCGTCCTCAGGTGAAGAACAGGTCTGTCGGAAAGACAGTGTCTGAATGAACAGGTCTGTCGGAAAGACAGCGTCTGAATGAACAGGTCTGTCGGAAAGACAGCGTCTGAATGAACAGGTCTGTCGGAAAGACAGCGTCTGAATGAACAGGTCTGTCGGAAAGACAGCCTCTGAATGAACAGGTCTATCGGAAAGACAGCGTCTGAATGAACAGGTCTGTCGGAAAGACAGCATCTGAATGAACAGGTCTATCGGAAAGACAGCGTCTGAATGAACAGTCTATCGGAAAGACAGCGTCTGAATGAACAGGTCTGTCGGAAAGACAGCGTCTGAATGAGCCATTCAGACGCTGTCTTCCTGACAGACCTGTTCTTCACCTGAGGACGGCTGCTTGCGTTGTGGCCGAAACGTCGTGAGAATTGTATTTTATAATGTTTTATTTTTATTATTTTATTATTTCCCTTCTACGTGATGACTTTACCGAAAGAACCAAGAAGATGAATCCCTGGTGCGGTGTATAAACATCGCCACTGGGGAGACAAAGGTGGCTGGGCGTGGTGTTGTCATTGACCTCCATGGGTGCTAACCACTTACAGCACTTTCCCCAACAGTCTATTAAGGCTATATGGGGGATCTTTGTATTTGTCTTTGTATGTAGGAATGTATGGGTGTGAGCCTCGTTCAAAGTACAAGTCCCATCGTGACATTACCGTACAGGTTAAAGTACACTGGCAAACACATCATGCATCTTTATCGAGGTGTGTGTGTGTCTGTCTCAGGCAGTCAACCCGTGGCACCTGCTGGGTCTGTCCCGTGACCTCCCGCCAGCGGGCGTTCGATACTTCCCGTGGCCTTGAAAGTGCACATAGCCTGGCACAAGCGCCGTGGTGACGTCACCGCCACTCAGTGGCGAATGGCGGTTGTTGTTGTGTGTCTAGGTAGATGTGTGTGTCTGTCTGCACGTGTACGTGTGTCTGTGTATAAACATCGCCACTAGGGAGACAAAGGCGGCCGGGCGTGGTGCTGGCCACCCACCCCCTCGTGTGCCGTGCCGGCCTTCATAGGTGCTCGCTAACAGCACTTGCCCCTACAGTCTGTTGAGGCTATACAGGCGGGGGAGAGAATCTTTGCTGATCTTAAAGGTGCACTGAAAAATGTTGACACTCCGACTGATGCTCCTGCTGTTGTGGAGTGACTCATGCAGCCAGCTATGGCTGCAGGGTTTGGTAGTACATGTTGTTTATGTCGTTTATTGTGAAAATTCGGTCACAGTTCCTATGATCACTGTTGTTTCATTGCTTTCATGGCTTTATTTTGGTGATTTTAGAAAAGTTTTTCGGTTTGGCCATGTTTGTTTGTTGTAGTACAGAGTTAGACTGATGGCCTAAATCTAAGTTGTCTTGTGGTTGTTGTTGTTTGACTTGCATCCCACTGGGATTTGTGCACACAGTGTTGGTATACGGTGTCTTTTGTCTGCAATATTTTGCTGTCTTTTCTTGGATTTTCTGTTTGCACTTAGTCACATAGTCACTTTAAGATGTTTTCTTGTTCATATTTTAGTTTTTTGTTTGTTGCGGTTGCACCCGATTCAAGAGCCGAATGGCTCACAGGGCTCTCTCTATACCTAATAAATGAAACTTGAAACTTGTCTTTGTGATTGTGACCGAGAGGATGAAGACAAATGAACGAATAGCGAATGAACGAAAACGGCAAACTTGAGCGAGTGACTCAGCGGACGGGCGAACGAATCTCAACAAACGAGCGGAGTAATTCCAGAATCATCTTCTTGGTTCTTTCGGTAAAGTCACGTAGAAGGGAAGTAATAAAATAATAAAAATAAAACTAATAAAATAATTCTCACGACGTTTCGGCCACAACGCAAGCAGCCGTCCTCAGGTGAAGAACAGGTCTGTTGAAAAGACAGCGTCTGAATGAACCCATTTATTTAATATTTTTCATTCATTCAGACGCTGTCTTTCCAACAGACCTGTTCTTCACCTGAGGACGGCTGCTTGCGTTGTGGCCGAAACGTCGTGAGAATTATTTAATGTTTTATTTTTATTATTTTATTATTTTCCTTCTACGTGGTGACTTTACCGAAAGAACCAAGAAGATGAATCCCTGCAGTCACGAAAGCGGTCGAATTGCCGATCTCACGAATCAACGAGCGAGTCCATCGCAAGCGGACGAATGACCGATAGAAACAACGAGTGATAGAAACAACGACCGAATGAATGAATGAATGAGCGAGTGAAGGAGTGATTGAACCAACGACCGAATGAATGAATGAATGAGCGAGTGAAGGAGTGATTGAACCAACGACCGAATGAATGAATGAATGAGTGAGTGAACGAGTGATTGAACCAACGACCGAATGAATGAATGAATGAGCGAGTGAACGAGTGATTGAACCAACGACCGAATGAATGAATGAATGAGTGAGTGAACGAGTGATTGAACCAACGACCGAATGAATGAATGAATGAGCGAGTGAAGGAGTGATTGAACCAACGACCGAATGAATGAATGAATGAGTGAGTGAACGAGTGATTGAACCAACGACCGAATGAATGAATGAATGAGTGAGTGAACGAGTGATTGAACCAACGACCGAATGAATGAATGAATGAGTGAGTGAACGAGTGATTGAACCAACGACCGAATGAATGAATGAATGAGCGAGTGAACGAGTGATTGAACCAACGACCGAATGAATGAATGAATGAGTGAGTGAACGAGTGATTGAACCAACGACCGAATGAATGAATGAATGAGTGAGTGAACGAGTGATTGAACCAACGACCGAATGAATGAATGAATGAGTGAGTGAACGAGTGATTGAACCAACGACCGAATGAATGAATGAATGAGTGAGTGAACGAGTGATTGAACCAACGACCGAATGAATGAATGAATGAGTGAGTGAACGAGTGATTGAACCAACGACCGAATGAATGAATGAATGAGTGAGTGAACGAGTGATTGAACCAACGACCGAATGAATGAATGAATGAGCGAGTGAACGAGTGATTGAACCAACGACCGAATGAATGAATGAATGAGTGAGTGAACGAGTGATTGAACCAACGACCGAATGAATGAATGAATGAGCGAGTGAACGAGTGATTGAACCAACGACCGAATGAATGAATGAATGAATGAGTGAGTGAACGAGTGATTGAACCAACGACCGAATGAATGAATGAATGAGCGAGTGAAGGAGTGATTGAACCAACGACCGAATGAATGAATGAATGAGCGAGTGAAGGAGTGATTGAACCAACGACCGAATGAATGAATGAATGAGCGAGTGAAGGAGTGATTGAACCAACGACCGAATGAATGAATGAATGAGCGAGTGAACGAGTGATTGAACCAACGACCGAATGAATGAATGAATGAGTGAGTGAACGAGTGATTGAACCAACGACCGAATGAATGAATGAATGAGCGAGTGAACGAGTGATTGAACCAACGACCGAATGAATGAATGAATGAGTGAACGAGTGATTGAACCAACGACCGAATGAATGAATGAATGAGTGAGTGAACGAGTGATTGAACCAACGACCGAATGAATGAATGAATGAGTGAGTGAACGAGTGATTGAACCAACGACCGAATGAATGAATGAATGAGTGAGTGAACGAGTGATTGAACCAACGACCGAATGAATGAATGAATGAGCGAGTGAACGAGTGATTGAACCAACGACCGAATGAATGAATGAATGAGTGAGTGAACGAGTGATTGAACCAACGACCGAATGAATGAATGAATGAGCGAGTGAACGAGTGATTGAACCAACGACCGAATGAATGAATGAGTGAGTGAACGAGTGATTGAACCAACGACCGAATGAATGAATGAATGAGCGAGTGAACGAGTGATTGAACCAACGACCGAATGAATGAATGAATGAGTGAGTGAACGAGTGATTGAACCAACGACCGAATGAATGAATGAATGAGCGAGTGAAGGAGTGATTGAACCAACGACCGAATGAATGAATGAATGAGCGAGTGAAGGAGTGATTGAACCAACGACCGAATGAATGAATGAATGAGCGAGTGAAGGAGTGATTGAACCAACGACCGAATGAATGAATGAATGAGCGAGTGAACGAGTGATTGAACCAACGACCGAATGAATGAATGAATGAGCGAGTGAACGAGTGATTGAACCAACGACCGAATGAATGAATGAATGAGCGAGTGAAGGAGTGATTGAACCAACGACCGAATGAATGAATGAATGAGCGAGTGAAGGAGTGATTGAACCAACGACCGAATGAATGAATGAATGAGCGAGTGAAGGAGTGATTGAACCAACGACCGAATGAATGAATGAATGAGCGAGTGAACGAGTGATTGAACCAACGACCGAATGAATGAATGAATGAGTGAGTGAACGAGTGATTGAACCAACGACCGAATGAATGAATGAATGAGTGAGTGAACGAGTGATTGAACCAACGACCGAATGAATGAATGAATGAGTGAGTGAACGAGTGATTGAACCAACGACCGAATGAATGAATGAATGAGTGAGTGAACGAGTGATTGAACCAACGACCGAATGAATGAATGAATGAGCGAGTGAACGAGTGATTGAACCAACGACCGAATGAATGAATGAATGAGTGAGTGAACGAGTGATTGAACCAACGACCGAATGAATGAATGAATGAGCGAGTGAAGGAGTGATTGAACCAACGACCGAATGAATGAATGAATGAGTGAGTGAACGAGTGATTGAACCAACGACCGAATGAATGAGCGAGTGAACGAGTGATTGAACCAACGACCGAATGAATGAATGAATGAGTGAGTGAACGAGTGATTGAACCAACGACCGAATGAATGAATGAATGAGTGAGTGAACGAGTGATTGAACCAACGACCGAATGAATGAATGAATGAATGAGTGAGTGAACGAGTGATTGAACCAACGACCGAATGAATGAATGAATGAGTGAGTGAACGAGTGATAGAAACAACGACCGAATGAATGAATGAATGAGTGAGTGAACGAGTGATTGAACCAACGACCGAATGAATGAATGAATGAGTGAGTGAACGAGTGATTGAACCAACGACCGAATGAATGAATGAATGAGCGAGTGAACGAGTGATTGAACCAACGACCGAATGAATGAATGAGCGAACGAGTGAAGGAGTGAAGGAGTGAAGGGGGCACAGCGGTATGACCTCAGTGAGGAGGGTCTCCTTCTTCTTGGAGGATAGGCTGACGTGTTTCTCCAGCTGCGTGTAGTACTTGTCGCTCTCCTTGTCAAACTTCTTCTTCTCGTCCTGAGACACACACAACAACAACCACAACCACAACAACAACCACAACAACCACAACAACCACGTGAGGATCACCACAACCACAACAACAACCACAACAACAACCACAACAACAACCACAACAACAACAACAACGACCACGTGAGGATCACCACAGCCACAACAACAACCACAACAACAACAACAACGACCACGTGAGGATCACCACAGCCACAACAACAACAACCACAACAACAACAACAACCACGCACACACGTGAGGATCACTACAACAACCACAACAACAACCACAACAACAACAACCACACACACACCGCGTGAGGATCACCACAACAACAACAACAACCACACACACACCGCGTGAGGATCACTACAACAACCACAACAACAACCACAACAACAACAACCACACACACACCGCGTGAGCATCACAACAACAACCACAACAACAACCACACACACACCGCGTGAGGATCACTACAACAACCACAACAACAACCACAACAACAACAACCACACACACAACAACAACAGCAACCACGTGAGGATCACCACATTCACAACAACAACCACAACAACCACAACAACCCACACACACCGCGTGAGGATCACCACAACAACCACAACAACAACCACAACAACAACCACAACAACAACCACAACAACAACCACGCACACACCACGTGAGGATCACTACAACCACCACAACAACGCACACACCACGTGAGGATCACCACAACAGCCACAACAACCACAACTAGCTCGCCTGGTATACAGGAGGTCGTGGGTTCGATCCCGACCCTGACGCCTGCTGCTGTATATTTGGAGTTTGCATGTCTCTCTCTCATCATCACAGTGGCTTAGAGATGTTAACTACCTTGCCTGGTGTACAGGAGGCCGTGGGTTCAATCCTGACCCTGACGCCTGCTGCTGTTTATTTGGAGTTTGCGTGTCTCTCTCTCTCACCGTGGTGAGATGTTAACTACCTCGCCTGGTCTACAGGAGGTCGTGGGTTCAATCCCGACCCTGACGACGCCTGCTGCTGTATATTTGGAGTTTGCGTGTCTCTCTCTCTCTCAGTGGTGAGATGTTAACTACCTCGCCTGGTGTACAGGAGGTCGTGGGTTCGATCCCGACCCTTACGATGTCTGCTGCTGTATATTTGGAGTTTGCGTGTCTCTCTCTCTCTCCGTGGTGAGATGTTAACTACCTCGCCTGGTCTACAGGAGGTCGTGGGTTCAATCCCGACCCTGACGACGCCTGCTGCTGTATATTTGGAGTTTGCGTGTCTCTCTCTCTCCCCGTGGTCGCGTGGATTTTTATCTGGGTCCTCCGTGTTCTTCCCTCCACATTTAGAATTAACGTCACGCGTTTAGAGCGTTCGCCTGCTATAAATGTATACGTGATGAGCCGCTACGTTGAGCTATCATTTGTGGTTCACACTGCTTATATGTCTGTCTATATGTCTCTGGTTCTGTGTTGTATCTCTCTCTCAAATGTAGCATTCTCAGGAAGAACGTAATCAACCAGGTAGGGTGTTGACCGTTATGTTATCCGACTCTCTCTGTTGTATTACATTACATTTCTAAGTGTACTAGATTTGTGTTTCTATTTCATTTATACCTGATGACGATTGCTCGTGTTGCAATCGAAACGTCGTATGCTAGTATTTAATTTATTATTTTATTTTTCGATTTAAAGCTTTCGTGACTGCAGGGATTCATCTTCTTGGTTCTTTCGGTAAAGTCACGTAGAATACGTTTATTATTTTATCTTTATACGCGACTTTACCGAAAGAACCAAAGAGTACTATCATTTGTGATCGCCAGAAAGAAGCGTCGTAGCCTCAGTTGGGGCCTTAACTGTTCAAAGAAAAAAAAAGTTTAGTTTTAAGGTTGTTTACATACTGTACTATACCGAGATATGCACACTGTACACACTGTACCACACTGTACTGTAGCGAGTTCGATTCCCGCTCACGACCAGCACCCGTGAAAATGATCTGAACCGGCCCGGGGGCATCCCCTAGGTCAGGGGTCGGCAACCAAAATAACACGAAGAGCCATTTCTTTCCAATTCAGTACAAAATTCAGTATTTCAAGAGCCGCAATGCATCTGAGTACATACTGTACATATCGTCAAGAAGCAGCCCGTAAAGAGCCGCATGCGGCTCCGGAGCCGTAGGTTGCCGACCCCTGCCCTAGGTCGACTCAGCCTCAAGTGAAAACCAGATGCGATGTGTAAATACCGCCGCTAGGGGTGATGAGGGCGGTTGGGTGTGGTGCTGGTCACCCACCCACCCCTCGTGTGCCGTGCCGGCCTTCATTAGGTGCTAGCTAACAGCACTTGCCCCAACATTCTGTTAAGGCTACACGGGGGAACTTTGTTTGTCTTCGGTGGTAGCGGTGGTGGTAGTGGTGGTGGTAGTGGTGGTGGTAGTGGTGGTGGTAGTGGTGGTAGTGGTGGTGGTGGTAGTGGTGGTGGTGGTAGTGGTGGCGGTGGTAGCGATGGTGGTAGTGGTGGTGGTAGTGGGGGTAGTGGTGGTGGTGGTGGCAGTGGTGGTAGTGGTGGTGGCGGAGGTGATAGTGGTGGTGGTGGTAGTGGTGGTGGTGGTGGCAGTGGTGGTGGCAGTGGTGGTAGTGGTGGTGATAGTGGTGGTGGTAGTGGGGGTAGTGGTGGTGGTGGTGGCAGTGGTGGTAGTGGTGGTGGTAGTGGTGGTGGTGGCAGTGGTGGTAGTAGTAGTGGCGGTGGTGGTAGTGGTGGTTGTGGTGGTGGTGGCAGTGGTGGTAGTGGCGGTGGTAGTGGTGGTAGCAGTGGTAGCGGTGGTGGTAGTGGTGGTAGTGGCGGTGGTAATGGTGGTAGCAGTGGTAGTGATTTAAAAACCTTGCACCATCCCACCACACTCTGAATCAAAGTCCCCTTTAAAATAGAAAAAACAGTTAAACATTCCCAATTAGCTAACAGAGAATTCCATGACGCCTGCCTCACTACAGAGCCCGCACAAGCGGGCCCTTTAAAAGCTTAGAGAACGGAGAAGAATGCACGGAACGCTGTCGAGAGGGATGCTCTGCGCACAGGAATTAAACTAAAAACGTAGATTTAAAGCTTCTTCCGTGACTGCAGGGATTCATCTTCTTGGTTCTTTCGGTAAAGTCACGTAGAAGGGAAATAATAAAATGATAAAAATTATAAAACAATTAAATTCTCACGACGTTTCGACTGCAACACAAGCAATCATCCATCATCAGGTGTGAAATCTCGATTTAAAGCTTCTTCCGTGACTGCAGGGATTCATCTTCTTGGTTCTTTCGGTAAAGTCACCACGAGGTAGTCAACATCTCACCACAGAGAGAGAGAGACACGCAAACTCTAAATATACAGCAGGCGTCGTCAGGGTCGAGATCGAACCCAGGACCTCCTGTATACCAGGCGAGGTAGTTAACATCTCGTCACCGTTGGCAACCCTTGCGATCCGGATGATCAAGCAGTTGCGATTCCATCTCATGTAACAACTCTGAGGCTTAAAGTTGCGTTCAGAATGGGTCAGCCTTGACGGGAGGTTACCGCAACCCCCGAGTTACACAAGGACAGATGGGTTAGTGTTGCAGCATGTGAGCGGGTGAGTTGGTGTTCGAATGGGCGGGCAAGTGAGTGAATGTGTGCGATTCGCTGCTTGCGTGAGCGAGTAGACTAGTGAGTGGGTGAGTGTGTCGGTAACTGGCTGCGTTTCGATTTAAAGCTTTCGTGACTGCAGGGATTCATCTTCTTGGTTCTTTCAGTAAAGTCACGTAGAAGGGAAGTAATAAAATAATAGAAATAAAACATAACAAAATAATTCTCACGACGTTTCGGCCACAACGCAAGCAGCTGTCTTCAGGTGGAGAACAGGTCTGTCAGAGTCTGCCTTCTCAACAGACCTGTTCTTCACCTGAGGATGGCTGCTTGCGTTGTGGCCGAAACGTCGTGAGAATTATTTTGTTATGTTTTATTTTTATTATTTTATTACTTCCCTTCTACGTGACTTTACCGAAAGAACCAAGAAGATGAACTGGCTGAGTCTCTAATAGCAACACAACTTTTAAACTAAACTTTCATTAATTTCAGATCATCTTTACGAAAGCCATCGTAACCACGTATTTACGAACGGATGAGTGAGTATGTAAAAGAGTGAGTGAGTGGATGAGTGGGTGGGCGAGCGAGCGGGCGAGTGTGTAGGTGGGCAAGTAAGTATGAGTAACTGGCTGAGTGAGACTCACACAGACCCACAGATTTATGTAAAGTCCCATAGACTCCAGATAAAGAGCCATAAATTTAAACCAGTAGAAACCAGTTAACGGGTTGCTTAACATGTAGCAATGTCTCTAGCGATGGCCGTAACACGTTCAGCTTTTTTACTGAGAAACAAAGAGAGTTGCCACAGCAAAGACTTGCATAGAGACCCATAGACTCACACAGAGAACTACAGACTCACACAGACCCACAGACTCACACAGAAACTCACACAGAGACCCACAGACTCACATAGAAACCCACAGACTCACACAGAGATCCATAGAACCACACAGCGACCCGTAGACTCACACAGAGACGCATAGACTCACACAGAGAACCATAGACTCACACAGAGACACAGACTTGCATAAAGACCCATAGACTCACACAGAGACCCATAGACTCACACAGAGACCCACAGACTCACACAGAGACTCATAGACTCACACAGAGACCCACAGACTCACACAGAGACCCACAGACTCGCACAGAGACCCACAGACTCACACAGAGACCCACAGACTCACACAGAGACCCACAGACTCACACAGAGACCCACAGACTCGCACAGAGACCCACAGACTCACACAGAGACCCACAGACTCACACAGAGACCCACAGACTCACACAGAGACCCGATAGACTCACAAAGACATGCATAGACTCACACAGTGACCCATAGACTCACACAGAGACGCATAGACTCACACAGAGAAGCATAGACTCACACAGAGACACAGACTTGCATAAAGACCCATATACTCACACAGAAACCCATAGACTCACACAGAGAACTACAGACTCACACAGACCCACAGACTCACACAGAAACTCACACAGAGACCCACAGACTCACACATAGAGACCCACAGACTCACACAGAGACCCACAGACTCACACAGAGACCCACAGACTCGCACAGAGACCCACAGACTCGCACAGAGACCCACAGACTCACACAGAGACCCACAGACTCACACATAGAGACCCACAGACTCACACAGAGACCCACAGACTCACACAGAGACCCACATACGTACCTTGGCAGCGCCAATTTGATCTTTGCGAAACCTCTCCAACGGAGTGATCAACACGTCGCACACGCTAGCTATCTGTAAACAAACGGTAAAGACAACAACAATTGAAACGGACTTAATCGGAAACTGTGTTGAGGCTTGTGGGTCAGTGTTGAGACTGTGTGTCAGTGTTGAGTCTGTGTGTCAGTGTTGTGTGTCAGTGTTGAGGCTGTGTGTCAGTGTTGTGTGTCAGTGTTGTGTGTCAGCGTTGAGGCTGTGTGTCAGTGTTGTGTGTCAGTGTTGTGTGTCAGTGTTGTGTGTCAGCGTTGAGGCTGTGTGTCAGTGTTGTGTGTCAGTGTTGAGTCTGTGTGTCAGTGTTGTGTGTCAGTGTTGTGTGTCAGTGTTGAGTCTGTGTGTCAGTGTTGTGTGTCAGTGTTGAGGCTGTGTGTCAGTGTTGCCTCAGCGTTGAGACTGTCAGTGTTGAGTCTGTGTGTCAGTGTTGTGTGTCAGTGTTGAGTCTGTGTGTCAGTGTTGAGTCTGTGTGTCAGTGTTGTGTGTCAGTGTTGAGTCTGTGTGTCAGCGTTGAGTGTCAGTGTTGAGTCTGTGTGTCAGTGTTGTGTGTCAGTGTTGAGTCTGTGTGTCAGTGTTGTGTGTCAGTGTTGAGTCTGTGTGTCAGTGTTATGTGTCAGTGTTGAGTCTGTGTGTCAGTGTTGTGTGTCAGTGTTGAGTCTGTGTGTCAGTGTTGTGTGTCAGTGTTGAGTCTGTGTGTCAGTGTTGTGTGTCAGTGTTGAGTCTGTGTGTCAGTGTTGTGTGTCAGTGTTGAGTCTGTGTGTCAGTGTTGTGTGTCAGTGTTGAGTCTGTGTGTCAGTGTTGTGTGTCAGTGTTGAGTCTGTGTGTCAGTGTTGTGTGTCAGTGTTGAGTCTGTGTGTCAGTGTTGTGTGTCAGTGTTGAGTCTGTGTGTCAGTGTTGTGTGTCAGTGTTGAGTCTGTGTGTCAGTGTTGTGTGTCAGTGTTGAGTCTGTGTGTCAGTGTTGTGTGTCAGTGTTGAGTCTGTGTGTCAGTGTTGTGTGTCAGTGTTGAGTCTGTGTGTCAGTGTTGTGTGTCAGTGTTGAGTCTGTGTGTCAGTGTTGTGTGTCAGTGTTGAGTCTGTGTGTCAGTGTTGTGTGTCAGTGTTGAGTCTGTGTGTCAGCGTTGAGTGTCAGTGTTGAGTCTGTGTGTCAGTGTTGTGTGTCAGTGTTGAGTCTGTGTGTCAGTGTTGTGTGTCAGTGTTGAGTCTGTGTGTCAGTGTTGTGTGTCAGTGTTGAGTCTGTGTGTCAGTGTTGTGTGTCAGTGTTGAGTCTGTGTGTCAGTGTTGTGTGTCAGTGTTGAGTCTGTGTGTCAGTGTTGTGTGTCAGTGTTGAGTCTGTGTGTCAGTGTTGTGTGTCAGTGTTGAGTCTGTGTGTCAGCGTTGAGTGTCAGTGTTGAGTCTGTGTGTCAGTGTTGTGTGTCAGTGTTGAGTCTGTGTGTCAGTGTTGTGTGTCAGCGTTGAGTCTGTGTGTCAGCGTTGAGGCTCAACGTTATCTCCTGCAGCCTCAACACCGACACGGTTTGCCTGGATCGCACGCACCATCCTCTCCCTCTCGTCCTCCATGGAGCCCAGGAGCTTTGCGAACTCTTGGAGTGATCCGGCTAAACAGCACGAAGCACGGGGACAGGGAGGGGAGCAGTTACAGCGACGACGAGAAAAAACAAGGAACCCTAATTAGCATGCCGGGCTCGTTATCGTCTGTGTGTGCGTTGAACTTCTTTCACACCATACATGCTGGTCAAAAGGCGCTGTGGAAGAACACCACAAACACGATGATATCATATCATGGGACCTCCTTTGCCAGTACCAAAATATACTAAAAGGGGTTTTTCCCCCTTTTTTCTGGCAACAAAACTGACACCTTTTGCAAGGAGTCATGCTTACATTAACCACAATACTTGCAGTCAAATGCAAACAAAAAACACAACTCTGATAATTTATGCACTGTCCTTGAAACTGATTGGTCCACACCAGAGACAGCTTTCTTTAGAGCCTAGTCTCATATGGTGTTCGACCAGATGACGCCAAAAGGCGCACACAGTTCAAAGACAACTCACTACCAGAGTAATGAGAGCTCGGGGTCAGCAGCTACATCATGGGACCTTCTTTGCCAGTACCAAAATATACTAATAGGGGTTTTTCCCCTTTTTTTCCGGCAACAAAACTGACACCTTTTGCAAGGAATCATGCTTACATCAACCACAATACTTGCAGTCAAATGCAAACAAAAAACAATACTCTGATAATAGATGCATTGTCCTTGAAGCTGATTGGTCCACACCAGAGACAGCTTTCTTTTCTTGTTTTTTGTCTCTGGTGTGGACCAATCAGTTTCAAGGACAATGCATTTATTATCATAGCATGTTTTTTGTTTGCATTTTGGCTGCAAGTATTGCGGTTAATGCAGACGTGAATTTCAGTTTTATTGCCAGAAAAAAGTGGGAAAATCCCTATTATCATATTTTGGTACTGGCAAAGGAGGTCTAATGATGTAGAACAAGCAAGTTCTTGCGACACCGTGCGCACCCTCACCTACACCGTCACCTCTAGTCCTCGCCCTCACCCGGTTCAGCGACGTCCACGCGAGAACTCGGGCTACGTGACGTGGGTACGCGAGCGAGTGAACGAGCGTGCGAGCGGGCGTGCGAGCGTGTGCGCCACTCACTGATGCTGACTTCGTCGTCCGTGGAGGCGTCGCCGATGCAGTCGAACTTGAAGCTGGCCAGCGACTGAGCGAACTTCCTCTTGGCCTGTGACAAATCTGCAAAACGACGACACAGACCCAAGCGCAGTCTGTCAGCGGGGGGCGGGCGGGCGGGTGCACGGGTGGCCTCGCCGGGGACGTTGAGCCAGCAAGGCTGAGACGCTGGGTTCAAGCCCAGAGTCAGAGTGACTTTCTCTCGTTCTCTTAGATAATTCACGATGGCCGTGTCAGAGACACTGAACCAGCAAGGCTGAGACGCTGGGTTCAAGCCCAGAGTCAGGATGTCTCTCTCTCTCTCGTTCTCTTAGCGAATTCACGATGGCCGTGTCAGAGACACTGAACCAGCACGGCTGAGACGCTGGGTTCAAGCCCAGAGTCAGGATGTCTCTCCATAAAGAGGTTCACGATGGCCGTGTCAGAGACACTGAACCAGCACGGCTGAGACGCTGGGTTCAAGCCCAGAGTCAGGATGTCTCTCCATAAAGAGGTTCACGATGGCCGTGTCAGAGACACTGAACCAGCACGGCTGAGACGCTGGGTTCAAGCCCAGAGTCAGGGTGTCTCTCCATAAAGAGGTTCACGATGGCCGTGTCAGAGACACTGAACCAGCACGGCTGAGACGCTGGGTTCAAGCCCAGAGTCAGGATGTCTCTCCATAAAGAGGTTCACGATGGCCGTGTCAGAGACACTGAACCAGCACGGCTGAGACGCTGGGTTCAAGCCCAGAGTCAGGGTGTCTCTCCATAAAGAGGTTCACGATGGCCGTGTCAGAGACACTGAACCAGCACGGCTGAGACGCTGGGTTCAAGCCCAGAGTCAGGATGTCTCTCCATAAAGAGGTTCACGATGGCCGTGTCAGAGACACTGAACCAGCACGGCTGAGACGCTGGGTTCAAGCCCAGAGTCAGGGTGTCTCTCCATAAAGAGGTTCACGATGGCCGTGTCAGAGACACTGAACCAGCACGGCTGAGACGCTGGGTTCAAGCCCAGAGTCAGGATGTCTCTCCATAAAGAGGTTCACGATGGCCGTGTCAGAGACACTGAACCAGCACGGCTGAGACGCTGGGTTCAAGCCCAGAGTCAGGGTGTCTCTCCATAAAGAGGTTCACGATGGCCGTGTCAGAGACACTGAACCAGCACGGCTGAGACGCTGGGTTCAAGCCCAGAGTCAGGATGTCTCTCCATAAAGAGGTTCACGATGGCCGTGTCAGAGACACTGAACCAGCACGGCTGAGACGCTGGGTTCAAGCCCAGAGTCAGGGTGTCTCTCCATAAAGAGGTTCACGATGGCCGTGTCAGAGACACTGAACCAGCACGGCTGAGACGCTGGGTTCAAGCCCAGAGTCAGGATGTCTCTCCATAAAGAGGTTCACGATGGCCGTGTCAGAGACACTGAACCAGCACGGCTGAGACGCTGGGTTCAAGCCCAGAGTCAGGGTGTCTCTCCATAAAGAGGTTCACGATGGCCGTGTCAGAGACACTGAACCAGCACGGCTGAGACGCTGGGTTCAAGCCCAGAGTCAGGGTGTCTCTCCATAAAGAGGTTCACGATGGCCGTGTCAGAGACACTGAACCAGCACGGCTGAGACGCTGGGTTCAAGCCCAGAGTCAGGATGTCTCTCCATAAAGAGGTTCACGATGGCCGTGTCAGAGACACTGAACCAGCACGGCTGAGACGCTGGGTTCAAGCCCAGAGTCAGGATGTCTCTCCATAAAGAGGTTCACGATGGCCGTGTCAGAGACACTGAACCAGCACGGCTGAGACGCTGGGTTCAAGCCCAGAGTCAGGGTGTCTCTCCATAAAGAGGTTCACGATGGCCGTGTCAGAGACACTGAACCAGCACGGCTGAGACGCTGGGTTCAAGCCCAGAGTCAGGATGTCTCTCCATAAAGAGGTTCACGATGGCCGTGTCAGAAACACTGAACCAGCACGGCTGAGACGCTGGGTTCAAGCCCAGAGTCAGGGTGTCTCTCCATAAAGAGGTTCACGATGGCCGTGTCAGAGACACTGAACCAGCACGGCTGAGACGCTGGGTTCAAGCCCAGAGTCAGGGTGTCTCTCCATAAAGAGGTTCACGATGGCCGTGTCAGAGACACTGAACCAGCAAGGCTGAGACGCTGGGTTCAAGCCCAGAGTCAGGGTGTCTCTCCATAAAGAGGTTCACGATGGCCGTGTCAGAGACACTGAACCAGCAAGGCTGAGACGCTGGGTTCAAGCCCAGAGTCAGGATGTCTCTCCATAAAGAGGTTCACGATGGCCGTGTCAGAGACACTGATACCAGCACGGCGAAGATAATGGGGGTTTAAGAGTCAAACCCTGGCTTTGTCCCTTGCACGGGGGTTCATAATGACCGTGTCAAAGACGCCACCAGCAGCGTTGAAATCCTGGCTCCGAGCCCTGACACAGGGATGTCTCTCTCTCTCTCGCCTCTCTCTTTCAGGGGATGCACAATGCGTTGATCTTCTCCATCAAGAAGGTCACAATGGCCATGTCGGGAACACCGAGCCAGACAACCGAGACCCCCTTCGGGTTCGAATTGCGGCTTCAGCGAGCGAACAAACCGAGGTTGTTTAGCGTGGCGAGCACGGACACCGATGACCGCACAAAAACAATCAACGACATGAAGTTTGGATTTTTCGCTTTCGTTAAACATTCAGCCCCCCGCCACCCCCATCTAACCGAGGCGACAAGTCGAGCCTGTGTGCGGTCATCGCCCGCGTGTGTGCGCGCACCTAGCCTGGCACAAGCGCCGTGGTGACGTCACCGCCACTGACCGCCGGCGAATGGCGGTTGTTGTTGTCGTCGAGTACGGGGAGCGGTGGTGCAGCGGTTAGCGCGCTTGCGCTTCAAGGCCGATCGAACCGAGTTCGATTCCCGCTCACTGCCATCCAACACCAGTGGCGATTTTCTGAACTGGTCCTGGGCCTCTCCTAGGTCGACTCAGCCTCAAAAAAGTACCTGGTACAGTGTGTAAACATCTCCGCTGGGGAGACGGAGGCAGCCTCCCCTTGCGTGCCGTGCCGGCTTTCGTAGGTGCCACTCGCTAGCAAACACTTGCCCCACTCACTAGCAAACACTTGCCCCAACATTCTTTGGTTCTTTCGGTAAAGTGACGTATAAAGATAAAATAATAAAATAAATTAAATACTAGCATACGACGTTTCGATTGCAACACGAGCAATCATCATCAGGTATAAATGAAATAGAAACACAAATCTAGTATACAGTGATACCTCGGTTCACGAACGCTTCTGTTCACGAACAACTCGGTTCACGAACAGAAAAGTTCATAACAATACGCTTCTGTTCCCAGGCTGTCACGTGGTCGTGACTTCCTGTAGGAAGATCGTGGAGAGAAGAAGAGACACTGAAAGAAGTACTGTGAGTACTGTGAAGACACTTTCAGTGACTTTTTGCTTTTTGGTGTGCTTTTTAGCACATACAGTACTGTACTGTACTACTGTACTGTACAATACTGTACTTACTGTATTGTACAGTTCACCCGTTTGAGTGCTTACTGAAGTCATCTCAAGCCAGGTTAGTGTTCTCTCTTTATACATTACTATACTGTACAGTACTAATGTGTATTGTAATGTGTTTCATATTTTTGTGCTTCAAAAGCCAAAGAAAAGGTCAGAACGGATTAATCGGGATTTACATTGAACCCTGTGGGGAAATATGCCTCGGTTCACGACCAATTCGGTTCGCGACCCGAGTCAGTTCACGAATTAAGTTTGTGAACCGAGGTATCACTGTACTTAGAAATGTAATGTAATACAACAGAGAGAGTCGGATAACATAACGTTCTTCCTGAGAATGCTGCATTTGAGAGAGAGATCAAACACAGAACCAGAGACATATAGACAGACATATAAGCAGAGACAGATATCACAGAGATACATAGAGACAAACATAGGCACTCTCTCTCTATGTATCTCTGTGATATCTGTCTGCTTATATGTCTGTCTATATGTCTCTGGTTCTGTGTTTTATCTCTCTCTCAAATTTAGCATCCTCAGCATTCTCAGGAAGAACGTAATCAACCAGGTAGGGTGTTGACTGTTAAGTTATCCGACTCTCTGTTGTATTACATTACATTTCTAAGTCTACTAGATTTGTGTTTCTATTTCATTTATACCTGATGACGATTGCTCGTGTTGCAATCGAAACGTCGTATGCTAGCATTTAATTTAATTTATTATTTTATCTTTACACGTCACTTTACCGAAAGAACCAAAGAATAATTCCTGCAGTCACGAAAGCTCCAAATTTAGTTTTTACTTGCCCCAACAGTCTGTTAAAGACCGTCTTTGAGTAGCGAGAGTGGCGGCGTAGTGGTTAGCGCGCTGCGCTACGAGCCCGGCTACCAGAGTTCGATTCCCGCTCACGGCCAATGAGGGCGACGAACATCTGAATAATCTCCCGGGCCTCCTACGCAAGGAGGCCGGCTACGCTTCAAGCGAGCACCTGGTGCGGTGTCGAGTCAACATCAACGCTGGCGGGGAGACAAAGGTGGCTGGGGAGTGGTGGCCGGGGCGTGGAATGTTCCAGCCACACCGACGCCCCCCCCGCCCCACCTCGTGTGTCATGCTGGACTTCGCTGGGCGCGAGTAAGGAATCAACGAGCGACGGGGTCACCGTCAAAAGGTCGCGAGGGCCGATCTCCGTTGGGAAGCGTCGCTATTCGATTCCATGCGCGCGTGCCCCAACTCTCCCGGACTTAAATTTCGATTTGAAAGCTTCTTTCGTGACTGCAGGGATTCATCTTCTTGGTTCTTTCGGTAAAGTCACGTGACTCTCCCGCACTTGTTTTTAAGCGAGTCAATTTTTTTTGCTCAAACTAAAATAAATAAATGTACGCACGTGTAAATGTTAAATAAGTAAATAACGGCTTATCTGCCGGCTAAAACCAGCGAGCGCCAGAGAGAGAGAGAGGGGGGGGGGGCAGGCAGGATTTCCTGCCCGAGGTCAAAGTTCGTATCAGCGTTAAAGCGTAAACATCCACCCCCTCCCTGGCATGCCCCCCCCTCTCTCCTCCTGTGGGGGGCTGTTGAGT